GTTTTATATAAAAGCTTTATTTAATACTTTATATAAATAATTCAATATTTTAAAAGTTTTAAATTAAATTATTTATATAAACATTAAATATATATTATATAATTAATAGGTTGTATAAATATATATATTATTTTTTAATTAAATAGAATCGAATAAATTGAATTAAATATTCGTAATTCAAATTCTAATTTATATATAATTCTAACCTTTATAAAAAGTATATAAATAATTTAAATTATATTAAACGGCTTAAAATAAACCTATAGTGTATATAATTTAATTAAGGTAAATTAGGACCTTTGTTAATAAGGGAACTATTTATTCTTTTAATTTTGAAACCTTTTAAAATTTAAAAATAATCTTTTTATTCATTTTTAGTATACGGAATTAAAAGAATTATCTTTATAATTTTTAGAAGACGAAAAACGCAACCTTATAATTATATTATTTATAAAATAATTAAATAATTTAAAAAATCTACAAGAAGGAAACTTCTTTAACATAAAAAAGGATTTTATAATAATTAAATATTATATAGTTATATTCTAACTAATTTATTATTTATTTATGGTAATTATATATTTAATATCTTTATTAAATAACCGTTAACGGTTCTTTTTAATCTTGAAGATTTTAATTTTATACTTTTTTTTATTTACGTTTCATAATTTTTCGAATCGATTTATAATATAAATATTTTGACTACCGGAATTTAATATACCTTTAATTACAATTTCATATAATCCCTTAGGAAAGAAGTATTTAAATATTTATATTATTTTATTAAATATAGTTTTTTTAATTATATTATAGAATTACTCAAATATTTATAAAGTTTAAAATATTTTTAAATTATAAGTAATTTAAAAACCTAATACTAATCATAATAAAGGTTATTCTCTTTATTAAAACGGTCAAATAAATACATTTTAAGGGAATTAATAATAAATTTATAAAATATATAATTTTCAAAAGAATCAAACCTTTTAAAGAAAAAATATTTAAATAGCGTTCTATTTCTACCTTTAATATAATTTAGGAATCTAACGGATTTGATTACTAAAGGGTTTAATTTATAATTATTAAATAAAAGTTTTTAAAAGTTTTATTATTACTTTAATATTTAAATTAGATAACGCCCCAATCTTAAACTTTTCATTCATTCTTTATTATTGTTATTTTAAATATAATAAATATAAAAGGTTTTATACGTTTTATAATATTTAATAGAATAAATAAATTTTTTAAAAGTAACTATTTAAACGTATAAAATACATTTAAACTCTAACTATATAATTACTTTTAATTTATTACTTAGCGTTTAACGCATTTTACCCTTACACTTTATAATTTTAGCGCGAACCTAACTTAAAACCCTCTCCAAATCCTTAATCTTATAGTTACGAATAATTTTAATAGAAAAGGGGACTTTATCTTACTTCTTCTTCTCTTCGGCTTTTTCAAAAGTTAAAAAGAATATTAGTAAATAAATATAATAATTAAAATAAAGATAAAAATATAATATACCCTTACGTAGAAAGTAATCTTTCCCCTCGGCTTTATAATAATAATTAGTTTAAATACCCTTATTAATAAATTTACCGCCGGAAACGCAATTAGCGAAAGGATTATAATTATTAATAATTATATATTTAGTATAAAGGCTTTTATTAGTCTTAGTGCTAAAAAAATAACGGGTTAGGCTGATAAATTACTTAGGGTAGTCCTACTTTAGAACCGAAGTAACTAGCTCTCCTTTTACTTAATATCCTTTAAAATTAAAGCGGCGGATAATAATCTATACTCTTTTATTAAATTCAGTTACCTTTAATATCGATTAATTAATTTTAATAAGTATTTTTACTCCGTTTATAATTAAAATGGTATAACTTTTAGTAATATTGTCATTATGGAATTTCTTAATAGCGAAATATAAACGTTTTTCGTTAGGCTAATTATTATCTAATTCTTTTAATACTTTATCGTTATTTATATTTTACGCGACAGATTTGCCTTTAAAGGTATAGGGCCGGAATTTTACAACAATATTACTTTCTTTCTTAATAGATATATTTTCCTTTTTTAACGTTAATTTAAAATAAATATACGTTAGTTTTATATATAATATACGTTTATAAATTGATTTTGGTACGTTATAGTCGTTAATAGGTGATAAGTTATTATTGTAGTGAAAGTGTTTATGTGTATTAAGGTGTACGAAGAAGCAGGGTTATATATAATATAAGATAAATTTAATTACTAAATTAAATCTACACTAACGCGCCTAGGCGCGTACCTAGTGCCTGCAGTTGATATAGGCTATTTTCTGACCAAACTTTTTCAATTGAGTATAGTCAACACTTGGGCCACCGTATAGTAGTTCGAAGTGTTCTCCCTCCTCCTCGTCCGAGCACCCTCCTAGTCTCTCCTCCCACCTGTGATGTCTTCCTCACCTTTTCCACCCGCGCACTGGATGCTTCAAGTTCTTTGCTCACCTCTCACACAGACCCACCGATCTTTGACAATATTGTCACAATTACACGACATCAAGACCTTGATCCCACCTAGGTTCGTTCCAACAGCGTAAAGGCGCGCGGCAAGTTCCACTGCCTGTCCTTGTTGTTGACTTGCCCTCACGTCATGAGGTTATTCAGGCGTCCTTGTCCTGCGCAGAAATGATATTCTCATCCCTTCATGAAATCTCGTCGTCGATGAAAACATCATGGCCGCGAGATACGAGAATGCTTGGATCCTTTGAAGTCAGGGTCAGGCCCCAGGAGGCCAGGACGTCGTTGGTCGTTGGGTTGCTTCTGAATGCCGTGAGCAGTGGCGAGCTTTCACCGTTCCCACTCCACGCAGGACAAGCCTTTGATCAGTCATCGGCAAAAGAACGTCAAGGTCCCTTACCCAGCAAAAAGAGCCCACATTCCGTGACGACAGGTCGTCTCATGGCATGAGGTTATCGACATGCCAATGCAACAGCGGGTGGCCTCATGGGGACATCCAACGTCCAGCCTTCATCCCAATCTTGCACTCCACAAGGCAGGGCACCCAACACAACAGACGAGAATCCCTGACAGGCTGACAGGCAGGCTGCTGGCTTGTCCAGGCAAAGTTGTCTGTTGCAATGCTACTAATAGTGGCCGCCGAGCAGGCAAAGTGCAAAGTATGAGCATGCAAAAGAAGGCGTCCAAGAACATTTACGCGAATCAGATTGGTCAATCATCTAGTTTGGGAGCCTCGCCGACGTCGTCCTAACTGACTCTTTTCTATCACACATTCACACTCGGCTGTCGACAGCTAGAGGTACCCCTCGCTGACCTCGATCTCGGCTGTTATCTCGGGCGGTCCCCTATCATCTCACGTATCACAGGTGGCGGGGCACACACATGCCTGCGTCGTAATACAGGCCGCCCTCCCACGTCTAGTTCAGGTTCTGGCCTCTCACACAAGTTCTTCGCAACGGCAAGTCACGTTCAACATCCTGGCACTACCTGGCACACGCTCGCCTGGCAGTCCACCCCCCTGGTCAGCAGCAGCGTCAGCAAAAAGGTGTCTACCATTGCTCCCGTCGGGCTTGGTACTACTAGTACTAGTAGGAGAGGGACCTGACTGACAGTGCCCGCCTCCCACCCTCACGTTTTCGTTTCGTTCCCCAAAGTATACACGCTCGCTTTGCCCTTCCCACACGTTTTTTTTCCGCACCGCGGGTCACTCACTCATCTCCGCCTCGTCTCTCTCTCCCAGTCTCAGGCTCAGGCTCTCTGCCCTCTCTCTGTTGACAAATCAAGGGGCCCCGGGGCAGACATGCTGCACTGCGGACAGCCACACCTGTTTCCTCACACGCACAACCACATTTGTTGGAATCAAGCTTAACCTCTGTGTCCCGTCAACGCAACCTCGCGGAAGCGGAAGCCAGCAAACCCAAACCCAAACACCCAGGTTTCCTTCCAGTGCTTCCACTCCCTTTTCGGACGCTCCCGTGTTTGGGTCACGGCCAGGGCTGCTTCATCCACAGGCCCGTCGTTCCGTTAACGTCCAAGCACGCACCTCTCCAGATTGAGCGCCCGCCCTCGTCTCTATTCGTCGCCTCTGCTTCCTCCGCCTGATTTCGCTGGGCCGTTCTGCCCCCTTCTGCCCCCTTTTCGTCCCATCGCCGCCCCCTTGTTGGCCGCCCTCGTGCAACGTGCTGCGTGGTCCCACCTCCTACAGTCCTACTACAACAGTACCTTGCCTCCCAGGAACCGAGCCGACCCCACAGGATTTGCCTATCCGGCTCGTCACCCTCACCGGCTTCCCTCGTGCCTTGCCATGTCTGGGTGCTCGCAGGCTGCTCTCGTCCCGCTCCATGAAAATCACGTCTGCCGCGACGAATTGCGCTTGCTAGATCCAGCGTGGTTCCGGTTTGACCCCTCCTCGTCGTCACATCAACTCGCGTGTTGCATCTGGGTTCGATAACCACACTCGTCCCAAGGCGGCCAATCCTCAGACACGACACAGGCCACCAACCTACTACCTCTATCTAGGCAATTGCTTTACCTCGAACTCGGGGAACACAAGATGGACCACCCAAACAACACCGGCTACAATGCCTCCTTGTTCGCTGCAAGGCCAACTTCACATGCAAGTACCCGCTCTTCCCACACACTCTCTTGCTTTGCTGTCCCCCCTGATGTCCTCAGAGACGCCTAGCTTGATTGCTTGCCCAGAGTTTTGGACCCAAGTCCTACTACTTACTGTCCTGGCTAACAGCACCCCGTGTTTTGCTCAACACCAGGTTTTCCATTCTACGATACCTCATACATCAGGCCCGGCGGGTGCTGATGTCCGCTCAAATAAAAGAAAACGAGAAGGGGATCTCGCGGGCTCTGTCCGCAGCCCCCCTGGTCTCAGCTCTTTCACCTCTGCCTCACTGCAAGGGGCACAGGATGTGCCGTACCTTTTCCCCGGTCGTGCCCCCAGTCTAGAGGAGTTTGGCGCATATCATCATGCGGGCCAAAATGCATTGCAAGGCGCGCTGCCAGGTATGTTTCGTCCACCGGGCAAACACTGTTGAGACCGGTCTCTCACTAGCTTTGCAGACCCGGGCAACTTCGATCCAATCCACTATCCGCTCGCAGGCCCAGCAATACGGAGCGGCCTCTCAGAAGCGTGCTCGGCCTTGGCACCATATTCCCCGGTAACTCAACCCCATTGTTTCTCCCAGTCAACTGCAATTGCCCCTACTCCAGAGAATGCCTATCCGACCTATCAATCGTCGATCAATGACTTCAAGGTCGGCGACCTCCCTGGTGGTGATGGTTTCAGAGCGCCAAACGCCCCGGGGATGGGCCACAAAGCCGACAGCTATGCCCAAGAACCGGTCACCTTCTGCCATCCCATGCAGTCACACACGACGCTCGCTATATCTTCCCCTTCGTTGTCCCATCCTGACGATGCTGCCATGTCCTCTTCATTCTTCCCTCCTCAAGGTCACAGTCATATGACCTACGTCTTCCAACCACAGAGCCAGCTAAGCGGCTACGGTGCTTTGAGCAAATCCTCCTTTTCAGAGCCAAACCTACACAATTCCCGATTTCCAACTTCCATGGACCAGAATTTTGGGTATGGCCGTGTTCAAGCCATGCAGGGGTCTGAGGTGAATCGTTCCATCATGGCCCCGACAGAAACATCCATGATTGTGCCTGCAACATCGGCATCTGGGTATCAGCAAGATCATATTGTACCACAACAGCAACGATGGGTGGAGGTCGTGAAGGGCAGAGAGGATAGAGTCATGAAGGAAGAGCTGGTGGGCGACTCTGACTTTGAAGAGCGTGAAATTGTGCCTGTATCATCACCGTTGGGCGGCTCCTATGAGGACCTCTCCCATACTCTGACTGAGTCTAACATGGGTTTGGCCGGCGCCGGCAGCTCGGGCAGGACAGAGAATGCTTTGCGGAGAGGCTCGGTCGATAAGAAGAAGCGTGGTCCGCTGGGAGAAGACAAGCGGAAAGCAACGTGCGACACTCGTAGCATGGGCGCCTGTATAAGATGCCACAATCAGCGGATTCGGGTAAGTACTGTCGATACCACAACAAATACCAGTTCACGCATGCTAACCAGGGAACAGTGCCACCCCAACCCACTGGAGCCACACAACCGTGATGCTCCGTGTCAATCATGCCTCGCATTTTCCAAAGACTCGAAGAAGACCATCCACAACATCCCTTGTCTTCGCGACAAGATCATTGGGATAAGGATCTTCCGCGCCGGCGGATTGAACTTGACGAAACGCTTCACTCATACTCAAGTCGTCGATGTCGATGTGAGTGACCAGTGGGGCCCTGCTCGCCGAGTCGAGATGGTTCAGGGGTTGTGCAACGAACCAAAGGTGGTCGTACGACTATGCAAGGCGCCCATCGTTTTGGAAGTTCGTCGTTTCAACCCGGCTCCCACAGATATCAACGAGCGAAGATATGTCGCCAACGGCTATCCCGCGGTTCAGCCTTTGCAGCCTTTTTGCCTCGTTAATGTGGAAAGCGCCGCTTTGCAGTTCAATCATTACATCAACGCCAACGCTCTTCATGGTCTTGAGGAGGCTGTTGAGAAGTCTGATGACATTGTCAAGCGGACCTTTGCTATCATTGCCGAGAAGTGCCGCTCACTTACTGTAAGTCTCTCGCATGTTTCAGTGCATTGATTATCGTCACTAACGGGATTCGCCTAGAAGACGACAAAAGACAAGAACAGCAAGAGTAACAAAGAGGACAAGCGTCAAAGGGACCAGAGAGAGCTGTTAATAAATGCAGTCCGCCTTTGGTTTGCTATCCGTAAGTGCCCTCCTCCAATGCTTTGAACAGCAATGCTGATAAAGTTCTCCAGGCCATGGCATAGGGTCCGCATGGCTAGATAGCAGCTCCGACACGCTTGATATGGATCCAGTCTACAAGGATGACTACCCGCTCTATGGGCGGGTCGACGTGCCACGCATGATTGTCGCCCAGTTCGATAGCATTCGGCATGAGCGTATTTATAAGAATATCGCTCCCCGAGTGCTTAAGCTTTACGAGAAGCTTATCACATCGAGTGACATGCAGAACTGGTTCACCATTTATCTGGTAACATTCCTATTCCTCCATCAAGTCAGCTGTATCTCATTCGATCGGTATCGCCGTGTCAGAGATAACTCTGGTGGCAGGCAACAGGTGTGTGAACTCAATATTCTCGTGGATGAGGCAAGACGAGCTAACTGTTGGTTGCGTAGGAAACCCGTTATGGACCGATTGGGCCGAGTCCCAATTCTCCCTCTGAATTTGTTGAGAGTGCTTTCGTCGAGGAGGTACAACACGGTGGCGTGGTTCTTCTGGCCTACTGGCAGTACTTCAAGCGCGCCGACCTCATGCGCTTGGACTGGGATAACATAGTCGATACCAAGTTAAGCACTCTGGAACCAGGGCAAGCCGAGCTTTTGCGGTGGACTGTTGAGCAGTTGAAGAGCGTTGATCCGAATACAGGAAGGACCAAGTGTAGGTGCTGTCGTGATGTGGGATAATGAGAGCCAATGCTAACTCGGACACAGTGGATAGCATTCCCAAGACCCCAGCCCAAGGCTGCTGGGAGCACGAATTGTACTGGGTATCGCGGATGTTCGACTCAACTTCGACAAGGGAGTCACAGTGGTCACCTCCCAAGACCTTTACTCGCGCTAAGCCGAGTGTTGGGCGAGAGTATACACCGCCTAGACCATCTCAGTCGCCTTGATTGTCCCGCATTTTCTTTCTGTCCATGATATTGACAGCGATGTTGGAATTATGGCTTGTTTGGATGTGTCTTGAACAAGTTCCTCTTGGCTCATTATTGGTTCGCATTCTTCCCTTCAGCATTGGCATCAAGCATTGAGGACGGAGTGACTGTCCATGTGAAGTGGCGCTTTTGCTTTTTACGTCTTTCACTTTTCGCGCTTCATAGGCTCTTACCAAGACAATCACGGCAACGAACACTCCTTTAACCCATGTACCGGTGCAGCCCCAAAGAGTTAGATTTCATCATTCCGCCTTTTTCCTTGCGGACTGCGGTCCATCTCCTTCGAGGCCTCCGCAATGAGGGAACAGACGGACAAACAGACAGAGACGAGGGTCAAGGGCAGGAAAAACGTGGTTGCTGTTGCTCGCGCAATGGCCTGTTAGTATTTCCCAATAACACATGATGTTGCATGATGTTGACTTTGATGGTAGCTTTGTTGTCAATGACAAAGCTGCGGTTCTGGTGCTACTTTTGATGGAGTGTTGTCGATGTCGCTTGGACGACTGTACTGCCCCACCTAGGAACTGGTCAACTTCCTATCGTGAACTGGTTCGTCTTGTGTGTAAACAAAGCCCCTGAAAGGTGCAGTTCATTCAGCTCTTCTTTTGCGGGTATATCCTTGTGAAAAAGTGTGGGGATTTGCTTGGGGCCAAGGGCGTTCAGCTCTTGTCGTGGACAGCCACAAGCAGACGGAGTTCGTGCCTGTAGTTGTGATTGGAGGTGTTTCCGGGGAAAAACGAGTTACCGGTCGAACTGTATGTAACCAGAAAAAAACATAAAAAAAAAATAAAACATCTGTAGTAGTGAAAAGAAGAAGACGACGGACGGTGATCATGCTCGTGGTAGAAAGAAGAAGGAAAATGGACAAAAAAGATATTGAGACTCGGATACCGGGAGTCGAACCCGGGGCTGTTGAGAGAGCAGTCACTCCTGAGAAGTGAGAGTCAACGATGTTACCGCTACACCATACCCGATTGAACTGATATGGTCCGATTTGTTGTTGTTGAACCTTTCGGAATTGCTGGTTATGAATGCGTGGTGAAGATTTTGCCTGTGGATGTGGATGTGGATGTGGTGAGGGTTCATCTACAAGTAGGCGTTGGATCCGGATGTGGGTGGAGTGTGGACCGTGGAAACCTCGGCGGGGGATTCTTGTGGGCCTTGGGAGATGCGATGACATGAGTGCACGTCAGGAACATAGGGAATCACAAACACGCGAGAAGATGAAATGAAAGAGTTCAGACTTAGAGAGAACTGGCAAGGCCCAACTTTGAGATTGAAGACAGCTGCGTTTGACTTGCATGTGTTGGTTCGTCATTTCGATCTCTTCCGGGCCCCGGCAATCGGTTATGCAAGGAACGGCAGCCACAAGCGATCGAAGGACAAGGGTACTTACAGCTTAGTCATCGCCAAGCGCCCGCGCTGCCTGCCGGATGGCATCGATAAGATAAGATTAGCCCAAATGCAGCCGGCCGCGGATTTGGCCAGTTCATTCAATTGCCTATCATTTGGCGAGCTCCGAGCTGCGAGCTGTCCTCTTGTGGGACCAGTTCCATTGTCACCACAACATCATCCTCCACGCCCGCATCTTCGATACCCCGTGGCTTTACCTACCACATCCGCAGCTTGCGAACCACTCCTTTCGCGTGCGAAAAACAAACCATACTCCTCACGACCAAATTATAATCCGATCGTCGCTGCGGTATCACCTTCTCGATCGAGCAAATACATTCCAACCAGAAGATCATCAACACTGGCATCCCAACCGAGACCGAGACATCAAGTCCACGAACCAAGACACGTCGTCTTCCGATCGTTCAAACCCACGACCACCACCGCATTCCAACCTAACACAACCACTTTCCCACCAAACAACCAATACCCAAACCGCCAAAATGGCCGAAGACCTAAACACCTACACCCACCTCCCCCTCACCATCGACCCCCAATCCAAGTCCATCTCCCTGCACCCCTCCGCCGGCCTCTCCTCCGTCCAGACCCGTGCCCTCGAATCCGAACTCGCCGCCTTGAACAACCTCCACCGTTCCCTCCACAGTCTCGACCCCCCGCACTTGGTCCCCCCTCCCCCAATCCCCGTCAACCCCAAGCGCAGCGCACAAGTCTCCAAGCTGCGCGACTCGGGCAACGCCGAGTACAAGAAGCAAAAGTACGGCGAGGCGGCCAAGTTTTATACCCTCGGCATCCAAATGGCGCTTGCCCGGCCGTTGTGGGAACCGAGTCAACTAGTGCGGGAGGAAGTCCACTCTTTGTTCTCTAACAGGGCGCAAGCACACATGTGGATGCAGGAGTGGCCTGAGGCTGCTGTTGATGCTGAGGCGTCTGTTGAAGCGAAGAGGGTGGGGAATGCTAAAGCGTGGTTTAGACGGGGCAAAAGCCTGTTGGAGATGGGACGACTCGAAGAGGCGAGGGAGTGGGTGGGTAGGGGATTGGAGGTGGAGGGGGAGGAGAAGGAGTTGGCGGAGTTGGGGAGGGAGATTGAGAAGCGGTTGGAGGCTAGGTCTGCTGGGTCTGCTGGGGCTGGGGCTGGGGCTGACAACTAGGAGAAGGATGTGCAACAGGGACAGGGACAGGCTTAGGGGGCAGGAAATGGGTGGGAGATGGAGTGGGAAGGGGTGGGGAGGAGTGTTGAGGCGGGCATGTTTCGGGAGTTGGCTGCTGTGGTGATGCATTCTGATAAACGGAAAGAGTGTGTTGGCGAGAAGGTAAGGGTGTTAAAGGTGGGGCGGAGAAGTGGGTTGATTGCGAGGGACAGGACGATTTGGCGGGTTCGTTCATGATGACAGGATCAGAATCTGAAGAATAGGTTTGGAGGAGCCCGGATCACGGGCTCGAGTCCGCGTTGCCCGTTACCCGTGGCCCTCGAAACCTGAGCGAATCTCGACAGCCCCCGGAGGAAAGCAGTTCAAGACGTTGCGTTATTTGATATACCTGCTGTGCTTACTGGCTTTGAAGGAAGGAACACGCACGCACGCAGAGGGACTTTGTTATTTCATGTATTACATCTTTTTAGGGATACACGCAGCGCTGTCAACAGTCAGCGCTTTGACTCTGCTTTTACTATTATGCAGATAGTTGCGCGTTAGGGCGTCGGGTACAAATAATTGGGATCATTTGTTAACAACATCATCGTGACCGTTAATGGCACAATCTAGATAGAGTGACTGTTTCGTGACATCGCAGAACCAAGAAGTCCATTATCACAACCATGGGTATCACCGAGGCTCGAACGAACTTCTGGTGATGTATAATAACGTAATAAGGATGGTTTCTTCGCCACAAAGGCTCCCTCCCATCTTGCATCGGTAAAATAGTTAATGCTTGTGAGCAATTTCACCCGGGACTTGATATAGCCAAGTACAGTCCAATATTAGTTTGTTTCTTAGTTCGAGACCGCGGGTCAACTTCCCTAAGCGTTTTCACATCTAATTCATATATTTCGTTCTATGATTGAAGCCTGATTTAGCTTGAATATGCCTATTCTGGTAATACATTTCCAATCCCTACCAAAGCATTTTCAATTGATGCTGAATCATTTCAATGCGTTCTTATAAGGTTTGGGACAGCTCGGGATTGATTTCGTCTAGTATACTAGGAATACCAAGCTAATAAATAAACCAGCATTAGATTGTATGCATGCAAAATTCAAGGTTTAGACTCGGACCATGGGTATTTGTATGGTGACGAGGATACTTTGTTCGGCCACGTGGTTTCTGTCTTTGATCTTCGAGGACACTTCTGGCATGTGAACGCTTAGACTACAATCGGCACTTGATACACCAAAGAACCTCTATGCATGCATGCGCAATTCAACCTTTTAAGCTTTCTTCTTCGTTATTGAAACTAAGATTTCCTGTCCACTACTACGTAGCTCGTATCACGGCCCTCAGGTATACCGTAGGTGCCGGCTGCGAATTTGCGTGTAACGTAACCCATTCCATCCATGTGCGTGAAGTAACATGTCTGCTGCTCGCCCAGTATGAAGTTGCCCCCTTCCGTCCCCTTTTGTTGAAATATGTCCATGAACCGCAATGTACCCGAATTCTTGGCCAGTGTTTGTCCCGTAGTGATTCAACTGGCCGCCGAAATGTTTCCTCCTTGATGAAATGTGATGACCCAGATGTGGTAAAAAGCAACGCCATGATGGGTTGAAGACCCGAAAATGTAATAATACAACTCCTCCGTTACCTGCGACCGAGCATCTCTGGTCAGTTCGCAGTTTGTCTCATTCTCAACATCACCACTCTCTCCCGACGTGATGAACTTCTTTCAATCTCTCGGCGCGGCGTGTTTGTTGGCATGTAGGTTTCGCGTTTGGTGTTTCGAGCGGACGAGGAAGATTTGTTCTGTGATCTTGTTTGTCCTCGTATTGTGCGGCCGGTCTTTAGCGCAATGCCCTCAACAGCGTGTGGAACGGCATTATGCAGGCGGAATGAACGAGAGCGGGAGGCGTATCCTCCGGCCAACCGGCTGAACATCCCAGAGCCACGGAGTATTCTTCTCTTGTCTTGCCGCGTAATCGTTTGCTTGTTTCGCCTCATTGGCCCCGTCCGACCGGTTCGCCCCATGCCCGTTGACTCAAGATGTCAAATCAGATCATCTCAACCTTCTCCTTCTCGCTCATATCGACACTTGAAGCGGCGGTAATCGTTGGCTTGCGCGGCCTCATGACCGCATCCTGGCCGGACATGCGACGGTCGAGCGCGCGCTCGAGCTTGGCGCCCAGAGCGAGTTTTTGCAGGTTGACGCTCTTCTCATCCGACAGGTGCACGCGCTGCTGCGTCAGCGCCTTGTTCTCCATGCGGTCGAGCCCCTTGCCAATGTCGGTGATCTCGGCGACGGCGCTGTCGGTGGTGCAGAAGGTGGGCGCGACCGAGTGGGCCATGGAGGCCGCCCGGGAGAGGCGGACAGAGGCGCGGTTTTGGGTCTGAGAAGGGGTGGACATTGTTAGTTTGGGTCGAGGTTGAGTGGGTGGATAGTGTAAAGTGTAAATCGAAGTGTCGTGGAGAAGATCCCAGGCGTCTGTTTTATCTGTCCTGTCGCATTTGTTTTTGCGGCCGCGCCAGGCGACTCTGAGCTAGTCACTCTAGTCTCGGAACGTAGTCACTCGGCCTGACTCAACGGTCGCGACCACAATAGGCAAGGGATTATACCTATTGAGGCGCATCTGGAATGGATGGGTGTTGGAATTGAGGGAGGGGAAGGGGAATGGATCATCATGCTAGCATGACAATTTGCGTGACTTACAGTGGGAGCCATCATGGGACGAGAGGAATCGGCAGAATCGAACGAGGTGGACATGTCGGGCGATTGTAATCGGGGGTCGGGGGGATCTCCTTTTTGTTATTCTGTTCCCTTGCCCACACAAAAACGTGATGTCGGTTTGATAGGTCGCGTGGGTGCGTTGCAATCTTGCGGTCCACTGAAACGGCCGACGGGGTAGACGGGGGCCAGCGAGGGATCAAAGGCGAATAAAGGAGCGGCGCCGCCGGAGGAGCAGAAGCGATGTTACCAAATGTTACCTAACGCGGTGGTGATGGGCGCTGGAAGAGAGCGTGGGCTGGTCGCTGGGCTGGGAAGAGCAGGTCGGTGTTTGACGCTACACGTGTAAATGAACTGAATGAGGAAAAGGATGGCGTTACAGGGTCTGGTCTGGTCGATGGCACTAATTTTCGACTAGTCGTATTGACTGGGGACGATGGGCGGATGGGCCAAGGGCTGATCTGGCTGGGCGAGTTGTAGCAAAGTTACGAGCGAATGGGATTTCGGGGGGTGGAATGAATGAGATGGGCTCGTGGAAATGAATGATTGAGAGGAGTGGAGAGGGAGAGAGATTCGGTTGACGGAGCGACGCCCTCCGGGACTGGAAGGAGCCTGGAAGGTGTTGGTTCGGCAACTGAGGCAAGAACGAGGAACAGGCCAACTGCAGGAAGCCCAACGCAGTTTCCCCAACGACTGGCAGTCTGGACAAATGTAATTCCAAGAATGGAGTGACAAGAGACCGAATGTCGGGCTGTCAAGTAATCAATTATTCAACAATATCGGATTATATCGGACTGTCACTGTCACGATGCCAATCACGACTAATATTTTGTGCAACGCAACAACACGGGGGCGCCTGGACCTCGCTGGAACTTCTCATGTCCACTCTTGCTGCACGCCGCTGGAGTCAGTGCATCTTGTGCATGAATTGGGCGGGATCCGGCCGGCACGAGGAGGCCCTTCGTCCACTGGCGTCAGGGGCATCACAGTTGCCATGTGGCATGGCTCGGCATGGCTTGACAAAGTGCCGGATCCCTCCTCCTTTAATTGTTCCTCTCTTCCTCTCATTCGTTAACGGGCGCGTTAGCGTTGAGCTTCTTGCAGAATGATGGGCCAGGGGTTTATCGAGGCGAGCGAGGTGACGAGGGGATTTTGGCATTTTGGGGAACCAAAAGCCGAGTGTCACAACATTCATCTCATAATCCCACGCGTCACGGCGCATATGGCGGTTTCGAAAGAAACGAAGCGGGACAGGATGATGGTTGTCTCCACTCTAAAGTTGTCCCCCACCAAAATCTTCGTTCTTGGGGTATTTAGCTGGAGGATTGGCATTCCTCCCGGGTTTCCTTTTCTTCCACCAGACCAATCCAAACTATCAATTTCTCCCATTGGTTTCCGCTCTTGATTCATGGTGATCTGCTCATGATGATCTCCCGGAGATGTCAGCTCCACGAGGTTTGATCGGAGTTTCAGTCACTCGGAGAGCATTGCTGATTGATTGCACATGAGATATACCGATGATGATTTCCTCATCACAAAACAAAAATGCCTCATTCGTGATGATAGAGATGAGCTTTTGGATCAATTGTTTTTCCATTTTGTTTCTTCTTTCGTGTTCACTTGGGCATCGCTGACATTCGCCGTCTTGGCTTGCTCTGGCCTGGCCCGATCGTACCTTACTTTATTATCGAGGTGGGCCGACCAAGCAATGGACTCCTCTCGGTGGAACCCCTCCACAATTCCAGGGGCAGTCCCGTCGCCGTGCAGTGGTGCGTTCCAAGAAAATTCCCACCGCAGGGGCATACTTCAACCGCACCTCATGCCATGAACGATGGGCAGCAGTCCTCGGATATCTTCTTCAAGGCCCCTCGGTCCTTACTTTCTTCCAGTTCATGTCTTTCGGACAGCCCGAGTTGGAGATGGACACGATGGTGGGAGGTTTTACTGTTTACGGCCTCATTTCCTCGTGATGTTGCTCCCTCGGTTGAGGCAGACGAGTACAACATAAGGGCAATATCACGGTCGGCATATGGAGGGAATCCCTTCCTCCTCACTTCCAGAGCCTGTCGATAACTCAATACCCAGATACCATTGTCAGGGAATGCCGATCGGTTACCTGTATCCTTCAAGATTGCATCCGGTAACAGATTGAGAGCTCTTTCGTCCAAACCATTGGGTAGACGGCTGATAAGAGTCGGGAACGCACAGACAGCCGTGAAACTGCATCTGTTCGGAGGAGAGCCGTGTGGTTTGTGGTTGTAATACTGGCACGTGGGAAGGGGGATGCCACGTACATCCTTGGGTGCTTGGCTACATCCTGTCATCGTCGTTAATTGCTTGGTCGGGTGTATCCAGTTCACCGGTCTCACGCCCGTCACTATCATTGGGGACACTCGACGCGGCCACAACACCGAGACCAGAAAATGCACATCAACGTGCCGCACCCAGCTTTCACCACCATCCGGTGCTCTGCCCGTCCCATCCTTGCACAGATACCAGACGGGAGCGAGGCGCCTCACAGACGGTACAGCACGTGGCACGGCAAGACAAATAAGACGTCGGGTGTTTCATTCGAGGGGACGACGACGCGGTTGGGAAACAATTTCCACTTGGCGCTCTCATGGCGAGATTTCTTTGTCTGCACGTCGTACGGGGGCGCCATCATCTCTCAATATTGAGAATTCAATATCGACAGTAAACGGAGAGACCACCATTGCCGATGTAGGCCGTCGAAAGCGGTCATCGAGTCATCGTACTCCCCGAATGGATTGTTGGCTTCCAGTTTCGTGGAGGTTGACCGAATACCGACGATCGTCGGACTCTCGGGTATCTCATGCTAATGCCTCTCAGGATACCAGAAGTAATCTCCATCATGAACCATCAACCCATCGCCAACGTATCGATGAAATGCCTTAAGCAGCATGCCAACAATCGGATCAACCTCGCATGAAATGGGTGTCGAGGCGACCGGAAGTAAACAGGCAACCGAGGCACTGAATGAGGGGATCGCGAGCGAAAATGCTCCAATCGTGCCTAGCGTTCCCCTAACCCTACACCCAGTTTCATCGTAACGGTCTTCTCGCTGCAGCCACAAGGCGTGCAAAGGCGTGTTTGTGCAACGTCGAATTGGCAGTTGTGTGGCGGGCGAAGATGCGGCCAGGCCGGGGGGCTTGCTCGCCGTTCTTGCCTGTTCTTGGCCACGTTCTTGCCCCGGATCGTCAGAGACCACTCTCAGAAGGCGGTTGACTAGCCGCTCTTGCTGAAAACGAACTGGCCACCACTGACCGTGATCGTACGATTTGACGTCAATGTTCTTGGCCCAAAACTGGAAATGGCAACCTCCTCGCCATTGACGGTTGTACTACAGTGGTCGACTGTCACGATAACTCGCTTGATGTTCTGTGCTCCCTTCACATCACATTGCTCTTTCCCTCAAACACTTCAAGTATGCGAGTGTCTGCACTCGTTCTTCTGTCCTCCTTCCCGGCCGAGGAGCTCACACCTGCTCCTTCTTGCCCTGCACGCATCGCAGGAACAAAGTTCAAGAGATCGCCGGACTTTGTTTCCTGCTTCACTTTTTCTCTCCTTCTTTTTCGTCCAACCCCTCCACCCCTCCCGTCCTCACCACCTCTCGTCAGGGACACTGAACGATGCCTACTTGTCCAACTCCAACCCCCACCAATTGTCTACCAACCATGGCTGTGCCACTACCCTGATCCTCATTGTCCACCTTATCCTGGATAGCCTCAACACCAAAGGATCTGCTATGGGCAAACAAGACCCAAATATTCCCAGCATCACCCCAGCATTGTGCACGGTCCGGTTACACATGCAGTGCCCCGAAAGTGGAAAGCACGCTGCCGACTCAGACCGATTGAGACTGTTTGACACACAACGGTCTCACAAGAGATGCCGGCTTCACCGCTTGCCCGCATGTGATAGCTTCATATCAACCATTCATCACTCCCGTGGTTGCTCGTCAGTACTTGTCGATTGCGGCTAAGAGCATCTGCATCAGCATGGTCATGTTCTTTATTACTCCATCACCGCCCGCTGCCCACTTACTCATACCTCCTCCCACTCGCTCACTTTCACTGGTCTTCTCTCACATTCCCGTCTTCACCACCAACAATGCTCTGTTGGCATCAATATGGCTTCCACCACACAAACACGGCACGCAATAGGTTAAGACCTTTTTACACTTGAGCCACCGCAAGACAACCGGTATGGCTGCCATCGCCGTTGACGACAACAACGACAACACCACAAAGCAACCCAAGTCCTCGTCAACGCCACCTTGGTCATTTACGTCACAAGACCATTCGAGATCATGAGCACCAAAGACGAAGAAGCGAAGTTCAAGATATTTGATTAGACCCGCAATCTGCAAGAACTCCGGCTGTTGGCCCTGATTGCCAACAACAACAACCTGTTATGATGAGACGACCAAAAGCAAACGCACACGTTGAGACCCTGCCGCCCAGAGCCGCCCAGACCGAAAACCCCTGATTACAAAATCCAAATCCAGAACCCGCCCAAGATTAACAAGAAACCCGAACCAAGGAAACGCCGTTGGTGTTGCTGTTGCTTCCCCCACCATTCATTCATCCATCCTCCCAGTTAAGTCACGGTCCTTTCTTTTTGTGCGCCCTCGATGCATGCTGGCCGTATGCTCTGAAAAACAATCGACGCCGCCCAACTCCAAAAACGTGGTGTATGACGTATCCACGGGTATCATCAAAGAGAAGGCAGCCTCCCAGTTTTGGCTCCAAAGTTCAATGACTCGCACCAAAAAAAAAGCAATGCATCCACCGTCATGACGTCCGGCTTCCCATGTTCGCACAAACATTCTTCCTCGGGACACTCCAACAAGCTAGTGCCTCCGGGACCTCGACTTTGACGACGACTCCTTATCCTTGTTGTGCTTCTTCTCCTTGCCGCTGTAGTCCAGCGCAATGTCGTAAGATGTTGGTTGTCCGGCCTCCTCTGCGGTCATGGACACACCATCTCTGGGGTCCCTGGTACCGCGCTTGCTGGCATCCTTTCTCTTCTTTCTGGAGCTTTCGGAAGTAGAGCCGGGAGCAGGTGCTGGTTTGTCTGTTAGCTTATTGCTACCGAAGCCCGAGGTCTCAGGTCACTGGAGGAGGGTCCACCACATACCCTCTCTGGGACAGTTCCTGCAGCACATGTGATCGCAGGTCTGGATGTACTGCCACTCGTTGGTGAGGGCATTTCTCTCCCATCGCGGGCTCGGCAGCATGCCGCCACACCACCCGGTTGTGTTTGGGGAGCCGCATTGGCAGCATGTCCAGTTGCCGTTGGTGTTCTTGAAGTCACAGTTCTGCAAGGGACAACCGGCGTTTGAGGGCTGTTCTTTGGCCATGGTCGTGTTGCTGCATTGCTCTTGGTATCCCGTATTGAGGTCGATCTTGGCTGCTGGGCAATAGTGCCAGTGCAGCGAAGTATGGCCGCATGAGTGTCCGGCGGGGTGTCCGTGGCACATCTTGATGGTATATGGAGGAACGGTGATGTCTTGGTGATGTTTGTGTTGAGGTTGTTCTGATGTTGCCACTCGGGGTGTGCAAGGTACGTTTTCACTCGGAAGGTAGGCTTGTATTTGTCCAGTCAGAGCGTGCTGCTAACTTCTTGTTGTAGATGCTTATCGTGGTCTGGATCTTGATCTCTGTCGTCCTTTCGGTGGTTCGGAGGCCAGATATATAAATGATTTCGCTTGATCATGACCGGAGTATCTCTTATTCTTCCATGCCCGATCCTTTTCGGCAAAGCTAGCAAAGCTAAAGATAAGTCAAAGTCCTGAACCCTTGCCGCCCCAACACCAACATCCAGGAGTAGTGTGACCGGCTTCCCATTCTCCGATGTGTGTGAAGGGAGAGGCTGACCCGGGTCATTGGTTCTTGGAATTCAGGGTGTTGCCAAGCCAAGTGGGCTAACAGAAACCTACACGCCTTGGGATCGCAACACAAATTGCGTGCCCTTCATATCGAGAGCCACAAGTACACAGGGGTACATTTCGGATGTTAGGGTGCGCCACACCTTCGAGTCGACGAATCATGTCTCGGGAAGCACGCCAAGCGTGTGCGGCCGAGCCACCCTTCAGTAGTTTCGATTCACAACCAACTGGCCGGGTACCGTGAATCAAAGAGTCTTTTGCTTGCTTGGCAGGATTCCAGTAAAGGCTCCCCGATCCCTACGGCTGCCAACCGCCGCACATTGCTTCTTAGCTACTCGAATCTACTGATATCATTTAGCTGAAGGGGATCTCGACATCAACAATTCGACATGCAGAGCAAGATGGCAACGAAAGCCCCAAGTCCCTGAAATATCACTTTCCAGGGGGACGTAGCGTGGAGCAGAATCTAGCGTCCTCCTCGGAAGTATCTCTTGCATGATCACGCACGATGTTCCGCGCAAAATTGCCCAATGTGGAGCCCACAAGAACTACTTCCCACTTCCTTACTTACCTTCTGATCATCATGTCCGTGCTGGCTCAGCAGCATCATGGAAACAATTGGCGCGGAGCTATGCCGGAGCGTGTTGGAGAAGCATTGCCTCCATCTCTCGACCAACGACCTGACGCCGTTCCATCTCGAGAATTGTTTTTCTTTCTCTTTGCCCGGGCTATCCTTGCAATCTTTCCCATCCTCGAGTCCAACTGACAGACACAGTATACGATATGTCAAGCATCGTAGCCGAGACAAGTCGTCGTCCGGTTGCTCACCATTCACCTCATATCCACATGACAGCTTGGACCCACGCTTTGTGTCTCGCACGGCCAACACCTAAACGTCAAACTTCACAACCTCTTTTTTGGCCCACGACTATCTGCCACGTGTGACGGGGAACTTCTCAACGAGCTACCAACCGTTTCCGAGTCATCTGGTGCCCCGGAGTCTCCAGTTTTGTCCTTGTGGGACCTCCTTGGTCTCCCACTTCCCCAGACTGAACCGAGCCTGATCGATCTTTCAGTCGTGCTCATGGCCACCGCGGGAATATGACACGTCCATCAACGCCTTCTCTTACTTCATAGGCTCGAAGCATCACATCCTGCCTGAAGCCCCACTCCATGCTGCAGGCTATGGCAGCGAGTGCCTATGTTATTCACGCGGGTATTGGGTTGTCTGTGAACTTCCCGGTCATCCCGACGGCTTAATGGGTTTAGCCAGACTTTGTCACCCTCCTTCGGACTGATTACCCTGCCTCCACCGACGGCTTCGCACTGGCAACATGAACGTCTTCGGTGGATTGGCATCTGAAAAGCCCTTTCGGTCATCCATACCGTGCCAATGCTATCATCTGCAGTGGTTGTGATGCAGACGCTGGCCGATATTGGATGGTTGGGCTGTCGGGAGAGACATGAAGTCGGCTGAACATGTTGCATCGGCATCGACACACCTTGGGATAGGGATCTGACGACAAGCATCCTGCTGCCTTGTCTGGGTGATCTGGGGTTCTCTCTCCTTTCTTTTCCTTTCAGAAGACACCTTCTCCGGCGACTTACCATCCTCGACAATCACCCGTAACCATCTCGGGAAAGGCTCCGAAATTTCCCTTATTCGCTAAGGACACGTTCGCATCACCACCAGTGGCTGTTACAGTCACGGATGTCCCACTCTCCGGAGGTATGGCTTAATAGCGCAGTCGCGAATCGTGGGATGGGGTCAAGCCGTCGGCTGCGATGGACTCCGGTAAATGTCTCCCCTAGCTTGCGTTCTCGGGCTTTTGAAGATCTCAATGATGCCATTGCGTTGGTTCGGTGATTTCCGTTTCCTGTCATTGCCCTCGGCTCATGGTGTCAGTAAAGGGACACTTATGGAGCGAGCCGATGGGTTGATCTCTGGTCTCCCACCTCACCGTACGACGTCTTGCCATGTACGTTTCCAATTGCCGGTGCGAATTCTCGACAGCGGTTGGGACTAACATCACGTTGCGATAAATCGAAGCGTAACAGCTTGTCCGTATTGTAGACAGTTTGAAGCGTATGCCGCATCGAGTTCGACGGTTACTTTGCCCCCTTTCAAGAATCTGACATCAGTGTTGCTCGGCCCAAGGTGCTGTTCCAACTCACGCTGAAGTTGTTGAGTTGAGAACGGGGATGTAGTGCCCCTTTCGACGCAATATCAGCACGTTTGGGGCTAATGCGAGAATCCCAGCAAGAGAGATTTTCGGCGAAATTAGTTCAACAAGATCGTGAGCTACTGCAAAGTAGGTAAGTCGTCCACCCCCAGTTCAAATTGACCAACCCTGGCGCCCTTCCAATCCCTCAAAGACTGTCGATACCCGGCCCCAGATCTCGCAGTTACCAATAAGGCACTCCGACTGGACAAATATGCAGTGATCGTGCATTATGGTTTGGTTACACAATCAAAGGCTTTCAAGCCCACCAAGACGGTAAGAAAAATGAGTGGTCATACTCAGCCCATCGCCCAACTGTGTAGGCCTGCGCCACCAGCCGAATATGGCTGTCGGTGATGAGAATAAGCAGGGCCCCTTACCATGGCCGTTCCAGGTCCTGGGTCCTGGGTGCATTTCCCGAATTCGCTAGCATCCATGGTCGATCTCGACTGCTGATTGGGACCCCTGATCCGACCAGCATGATCAGAGAAAGGTTAAGACATCGATTCCCAAAGCAGATTTCTGATGGGCAATTTCCGATTTTCAGGGACGGGATCTCAAAAAGCCGCTCTCTCATCCCACCGTCCCTGTTATTTGGCTAATCGAGAAATCGATAAGGGGATGGGAAAAAAGCATGGTCATCTCGAATTGGGCGAGCACCACAGTAACGGTAAAACCCGAAACAAGGTACGCATGGCAGGCCTCCGTCACCTCGTGCGGGAGAAACGAAGATGAGCCGCCATTCCACCACTGGTTAGTTGCCCCGTTTTCTTCCCATTCATCCATCCCACCCTCTAATTATCCTCCTCGGACTCTCAGCCTATCCCACGCCTTCTATACCCCTTCTTAGCCCGTTCCTCAGCCTCGGTTCTCGGAGACTGCCCCAGAACTGGGTACTGTACAAAAGAGCTTGCGACTTGTCGCCCTGTCTTTTCTTGCCCCTGCGTTGCCCCCATGTTCCTAGATCCCATCCTCCGTTCCCCCATATCCCAGTGGCCGGAACCGAAGCGGCATGCGACGTATGACGTATATACATGGGTTACACCGTACATGTTGTGAGATGCTAGGCATCATGAGGATGATGAAGATCTCCCATGCATGCTGCGAACATCTGGGCATGGCATGCGATCTTTCGGCTATCCTTTCCTGTCCTGATCCAAGTCCCAGCTCGGCTCGTCTATTCGTCCAGTCGCCGGGCTGAGACTGGAATGGGACGCAGGGCACATGCGAACATGTTTCCGGCTGGACGGATCACTGTCCCCGTTCCGATAAGACGGGGGTATTCATGACGCTCCTCATGTGCAGTAATGCTTGAGAGTCTGCGCTCGGGATTCACCCGGTTCGCTATGACAGTACTCTGTTGTTGCTTCACTGCCCACCCTCATGCTGGCTGAAGTCAGTTCCTGATCCTACTTTGTGATCTAACCGACGCAGTCTTTCACCGCAGTCTTTCGCCCCACAAGTCTGTCCACGTACACAGCACGGAGATTTCCATGTACCTGGAGTTTGTATTGTACCCCTGCTCCCCACTCGCCCGTTCGTCCTTGCAACCACCAAAGCGAAAGCGAGAACGGGTACGAGTGCAGGATGTCAGTCTCAGGCTTAGACCCACAGCACCTGGATGAAGGGTCCATCCACGGACTGATGGAAGGTTAGACATCAAGCAGCAGACATCAGAGACACAATTCTCGGACACTGACATGAACTCCAGACGGGTATGGGCAGGATCTCTAACCGGCCTGTCTCACTTGTCATGCGTTAGTAACGTATCTGATATCGATTTTTGAAAGGCGAGTTGAGAATCTGATAGATGATCAGTCCGGTGATAATGGGCGAGACAATAAGACATTCCCATCAGCTATGGAACCAGCCCACTTGCCTGTCAGCTTCCCCACGGTTTCCAGTTCCAGCAGTTTTATTCCCATGATCCTAGCCCCGGGCCACCAGGCTACTGGCAGATCACAGACACGCGATTCTATGGTAGCGAGGGCGATCTGTGGGCAAGGTTATAGCCGCCGTGAACGTGGGGGAAATGTGGGAAGGTCTCAGAACTTCGAAAGAGAGGGGCCTCAGGGGGTCCAAAGGGCAATACCTAGAGCAATCACAGAAGCAAGCACTAGTAGGTAAGGAACATCGGATTATGACCTGAAGGGGAAATGGTGTGGAATATGTGGAACTTTTGAGCTAGGAGCTAACTCCAAGTACCTTTGTATAGCAATCATACGTACTAGCTACTGTGTACGGGCGAGTGACCAGTCGGTGGTATTGGGGTTGTTTGCTCGACAGCTGGCAGGCAAATAGTACTTCGAGTAAGTACATTCAAGGTTACCTCTGCGAAGGCAAACCGAGAGTAACCGTACTAACATGATTCCGCACACGTACAAGCTGTTGAGGAAGCTTAGCTGACTAACCACTAGGTCTACTTGGGTACAACCCGTTTTCACCTTACAAATTAGCTATACTCGTCGGTTAGGTATGGAGTCTACCCTCTGGGGGTCTCGCTTACAGCTAGCCAACCGACTCTCATCGTCCCTTTGAGAGTCGGGATTTTTACATGTAACGTGCAAGGCCTATAACAGTCAGAATCTTCAACAATCCATTTCTCTACTAAAACATAAGCAAAAAAAATAGCAAAGGATTCGGATTATTCGTCTCAATTGCGCGTATTCAACAATATAAGTAAATTATTTTTAAAATATTATAATATATTATTATAGTATTGTAAAGGTCTTATAGCCCGTATACTAAACCTTTATAATATAATATCCAACTCCTCCTCTTCCTCTTCTTATAAATCCCTATCGCCCTTATTGTCGCCAAAATCGTCGTTTATAATAATTATTACTCTTACACGGCTAATAAAGACTTCTAACTTCCTACCTACTACTATTATAATTACTATAGTAACTTATTCCTCCTTATTAGAATCTATATCGATAACCTTCTCCTTCCCCTTTTTAAACTTCTTTCGAAGGTATAATATTAATATAAACGGTCCAAACGATAGCCTAACTAGTACTCGTACTTATATTCGTACTTTTTCTCCTACTCAATAAAGGTATATAATAAGGAGTTCGCTAAGGATATTTATACCCTCGTTACCCAATATAAATTTACCGACGAAGTACTTCCTCTACAAACCTTTCTAGGCCGCTTTTTACTATATATTTTAAAAAGTACGAAGTCTTTATTATAATTAAGGAGGGTAACCTTCCTCGTAACCTCGCAGAATTTATCCTCTTTATTTTCAATACTAATTAAGAAAACGTTAAAATACTATTTAGGTTAGAAAGCCTTCTATTATTGTATTTTTAATACGTAATATAAATAATTAAAACCCTATTATTTAATTAGAAAAGTACAATAGGCATTATGAATAATAATTTCGTCCTACCCCTCCTTAAGTTTTAATACTACGTTGTATTCTAGGTCATCCTTAATAATATAAATAAGGCTATTATTGTTAAGAATATTAACTTTATTAATTAAATTAGGCCTAGCTTTCTTCTTAGCCTTAAATTTGTATAATAACTACTATTTAAAACTAAAGTTCTCTTTGAAGGCAACCTTTTTAATAAAAGTAAGATTTGCTCGCTATATCTCCTTTAATCCCTCCTTTATATTAATTACCCTTTTTACTATAACCTTAGTATTAAGAACCTCCTTTATATAAACTCCATTACTAATAGCTACGTACTTACGAAGGTTCTACTTTTAAATTTCTACTTCAATATAGGGCTTATAATATTCTTACTAATTAAATATTAGTTTTTAAATATTAATAAACACTTTAAGGGCAATTCTAACCTCGTTATAAACCATTTTAATAGGCGAACTATACCTATTAATATATTATTAAATCGCTAGTAATTCTAATGTACGTAGTACTTTATAAGGAATTATAACCTTAAATCGGTTAAAGAATAAGAGTTTTTACCGTACCCTAATAAATTTACACAATTTATTAAAGGGAACGTTTAGCAAGTTAATCAGCCTCGTACCTACGTAATTTTATTATAGTTATAATTAATATACTTAATTTAAATAGCTATAGACTAATTTTCTCCTATCCTTTATAAATATTATTCGAATAAAGCCCGCCTCCTTAACCTTCTTCTAATTATTTAAAAAGACTATACAATTAATATTAATAGCTCTACTAGTAATATCGTCTACTAAGGCCTTTTAGTAAGCCTTCTTAATTACTTAATATACCCCTATATTAAGTAATTAAAGTATATAGTTAATATATAAGGGTAGAATATAAAATATAATATTAAAGGCCTTAAAATACTATAAAATATACAAGTCTTTATAGGCTTTAAATCTATTTATAAAAAGGATTCGATATACTTTCAGTTTAACAATTAACGTAAAATTAATAATTACTTTATTACCCTCAAACGGTTTTAATTTCTCGAAAGGGGGTAGGTAATTAAATAATAGACTAAACTATTCGTCGATAGTATAGCTATCGAAGGAGGGGGATAATTTAAAGGAATATTTATTAAAGTACTTAATCTACTTTAATATATAATAAATATTATTATAACTTATTAATATATTAGTAATAACTACATTTAAATTAACCTCGTAATTAACCTATACGTTCCCTTATACTTATAAATAAATTAATATAAACGTAGCTAATTAAATAAAATTAACGTTAATTATAAATACCAAGGCTAGAGCCTTACTATAATTTATACTTTAAATATTAAGAATAAAGGGATACTCTTAGCCGCGGCCGATATAATATCGATGGCAATTAAACTTTCCTTATTACTAGGGTTAAATATAACCTTTTTTATACGTACTCGATTCTTTACAAATAATACCTATTACTATATAAATTAATATTAGGAGTAATACTAATAAGGAAGCTTTTATACCTTCATAATTCTCTTAATTTCTCCTACTTAAAACGGAGACTCATCCATATTCCAAACATTCTCCTCTTTAATATTAAAACTATTATAAACAACATTCACCTCTTTAAACCAATTTTTAAGAGAATTTAATTAAGCCTCAACACTCATCCTTTTTACGTTTTTAAAACTAACCGCTTTGAATTCGAATTCTAAATACCTTTTATACCACTCTATAGGCCACCTTCTATAGAAGTTAATAAAGAGGGGGTATAACTATTAAGTTCGTAGCTAGTTAGTTAATTTAATGAGGGAAGTATTATTCAAAGAGAAGTAGCTATAGTTAACGATTTAAACTATAATATTAAGAACTTTATCCTCGTCTATAATTAAAGTTAATAATTAATAGGCTTCTATACTAATTAGTAGAACCTTACCCTCCCTAATAAATATTATATATTTCTTAATAATAGTCTTATTAATATTAAATAACTCTCCTATACTTTTATACGTAATCCTTCCTTTATTTCTAGTTTTAATATTAGTTTTATATTGTAAAGTAATAGATCGGATTATAATTACGGTCTAACTTACAATACAATACTAGGCGGCCTTTTCTATACGGGATGTAACGTCAGGGTTAAACACAAGTATATTGAAAGTATATATAAAAGATAGAATATAACGAAACGAGCAACATGAAGTTATTCACAATATAATATAATAAAAATTAATAATATTATTATTGAGTGCAGATTCTACACCGTTACAGAGCTTGCACGTTACATATAAAAATCCCGACTCTCAAAGGGACAATAAGAATCGGTTGGCTAGCTGTAAGCGGGCCCCCAAAGGGTGGCCCCACATGGCTGTAGCCAGTGCGTGCACCTAACCGACGAGTAGCATCTGGACAAGACCAATCGCAACAACTCCCTACAACGTCTCCATACTACTATGGTGTTGTGGGTAAGTTAAACCCGTGGGTCAGGTCGTTGAACACACAGTGCCCACGAAGCTTTGGCTGTGGTAGTCCGTGCAAGGTACCTGACAGGGAGGTAAAACTTTTGCTCGCAACCACAGTACAGTTGCCAACCCCCGAGCCTTCTATGAACAAGACAACAAACCTCAACCTCAAAACAAGCAAAGAGAAACAATTGCTACACGACAACACCTGATTCCGATCGCTCGGATCTTTTTCTTTTCTTATTCTCCTGCGAGCTGCCGCCAGCCGGCTGGCGAGCACCGGAGAGTTCATCCGGTTGGAGTGAGGCCGAGGTCATAATGCCGCATGCCACACTGCGGGTAGGACAGTAAAGTACTCTTCTCAGAATGAGTTGTTATTGACTACCTTAGTGGTGAGCTGGTTAAGGGTCTTTCCATCACTATCATGAACTTTGCGGAGTCTTTAACACTTTGCAAACTGTTGGCTGTTGGTCAGCAACTCAGCAAGTCATAAAGCTAGCTCAATGCTCAATTCTCAGGCGGTGAGGGGTATCATGAACTTTTTTTTCCCATTGCCGTCCAACAGCAAACTGCGCGGATAGGTACAGCTTGGCTGGTTGCGGATGATGCAGAGTTATAAGGCCCTGATCCCCAGCCCTCTGAGCAGCGTTACAAGCAGCGTTAAGAGTGCAGCGTTACAGCTTAGTAGCAGTGCAAGCGGAGTAAAACTTTGAGACGGGTATTTACCACGAGCGCTTTCCCTTTCTTAGCGTTAGAGCCTTGGCTAGCGTCTTGGTCAATTCTTGGAACGCTGAAGCAATGTACCTCTCGCCAAGTGGTCGCCAAGCTTGGCCAAGAAGCCTAAATGCGACGTCGCTATACCCTTCTTAACCAAAATATCTAACTTTCCAGCGCTCAACCGGTGCTTTCTGGAACTTTGCAAAAAAAAAGGGTTTAGAGGAAAGTTTTGAGAAAGCAGAGCGGTACAACCACAAAAAGCCCCGGTCAGCACCCCGGTCAGGAATTGTCCCCACCTCGGCCAAGATGTCACTTTCAAGCCAAACTTTCCTTCTGTAACGCTGCTCAGAGGGCTGGGGATCAGGGCCTGAAAGCGTAAAGGGGATCTACATAGCATGAGGAAATGTGGGAAGTGCACAGAGACGCTAGAGAACAGTAGGTATGTACCGCAAAAAGGAGCAAAGTAAGGTAAATTGAAAGATCTCCCAAATAGCACTCACTTGTGAACTGTCTTCTCAGCATTATTGAGAACGAGCCTGCCTACCTATGGAAAGCCTCATTAGAAGAGGCAACATATACTATTCCAAATAAAAGCCTGTATCACAGTGGTCTGTCATGAACAACTGAACACCACCAGAGCGCAACAAAGACGTGCAAAGCATGTCGACAACAGGGTTAATCCATGTTGGAATATGCGGGATGACTTACAGGGCTAAGGGCTTTGAGAGGGGAGGAATTGTGAGAACTACATGATCTGAATACTGTAGCTGGTACGGGAGCTAGAGAAACAAACGGGGTATGCGGTACTGCCCGTGAACTACGAGGAATTACCTACCTAACCATGTCGATAACACAATTTCTATGGGACTGGAACCCGCATCTCTCACAGAAAAGGGGAAGTTAAGGGCTGGACAAGAGATCCCATCCGGATACACATATAATATACCTTGGCATGAATACGGTGTACAATAGCAAACCAGAATGACGGAATAGCTCTCTCTACTAATTAAGATAGCATATACTACCTGGGTAGGACAGGAGTTCCTTAACACAGCGACGTGTCGGATAGAAACCCTAGGTATCATCGCCATCAACATGAATGGTCAGCCAGCGTCATCAGCCACCGCCCATCATCAAGAGCCGCCAGCCAGCCCGCTATATGTGAATCTGGCGCATTAACTGCATGATCTGAGACTTTGTTCACAAGCGTGAAAGCTGCATATACGAAATCTACGGATGCAGGTTTCTCTCTCCCGCAGTCCTGCTGGCACTCTGGCAGCCTGGCTCCCGTCCCCAAAGGCAAAGGGCCCAAGAGTGTGGTGGCAGTGGCAGTGGCAGTGGCAGTGGTACCATGATTTGGTGTGAGGGAGTCTGTCTACCATACCATACCATACCATACCATACCATATGATACCATACCATAGCCTATCGTGGGTGGTTAACTGACCAGACCAGAGGCTCCGAGGAGAAAAGAACTGAAGAAGAAGAAAGAGGAGGAGTGGAATGTTCATGATGATAACTGATAGAGATCGTTCGATGATGGTTTGTATGATGGTTCGATAGTTGGCAACGTCAACATGTTGGACATCGGAGGAGCAACACAACAAGGACAGGGTAAGTAGAGAAAGGGGGGGTAGGTACCTAGGTAACGATACTCAAGAGCTGTTAGTGCAGGAAAACCCACCTAGTGAAGGAAGGGAATCTCAAGTGGAAAGCAAGAGATGCTCAACAAGGCAGAGAGAGAGGTTCTATTAGCGTAAGGAAGACTAGGGAACCATGAAGACAAGGAACAGGACAAGGACAAGGACAAGGCACATCAAATCTGACAAGGGCAAGGACATGGGAAGTACAGAGGCTTGAAGTTGAGGCTTAGGCAAGGCAAAACAGGTGATACATGTGCCTTGAATAGGCAATCTCAATGGGTGACTGCGTGATCGAGAGGTATGGTTCTGCATATACGATGATGATACCTTGGAGAGGGTGTAATTGTAGGAAGCGCTGGTGATAGCTCACCACGTACAAACCAAGAATGATCCGAGGGCTATGTTCCCAAGCAACATCAACAGGAAGCCGAAGACCTGGTGGCAAAGAAAACGCCAGAAGTAACAACGAATAACGTGTAATTCCTTGGTGAAGAGAAATGATCTTGCTACATACCTCTAGGCTGGGAAAGACAGAAAACAACAAAGTCCAATGACTAGGTAAGTTACCTAGGCAAACTTCGGTGAAGAAAACAAGCCACCATGCTGGTCCCTAGCTTTCAACCCATCTACACCGGCCAAGTTATCGTTTGCGGTGTCCAGCTCCAGCCACACCACACGCGGACAAAACCAAGGTGTGCGCCACCACGCGCTGCACGTCTCGCTCTAACCTTCGGTCTTTCAGACTTATCGATAGTTGCTGCAAAGTTCTCCGACTATCACCAGCCAACTTTTCTTTCATCCTTTCTCCATGGTACTTCCCTTGCCATGTACGCCTTTCACTTGTGTCTGTACTCCTTCTTCCGGCCATGATCTGCCAACATCTATCTCTTGGCTCACCGTATCTTCCATTGCACATTTCCCTCTCTTTGCGCCTCAAGTTCAGACACTCGTTCATTCCCTCTCTCTCCTTCACGCCTAGTCCTTCGGTTGTCCAGCGCAAATACCTCTGCTCTCCCATCTTCACTTCTCATCCCAGGTCCCAGGACCCAATCAGTGTCTTCTTTCTTTTCATCCACCCTCAATCCTCTGTTCCCTTTCTTCGTTCTTCTTCTCCTTACTTTCCCACCCCAATTCTTCACCTCCTCTTCTTACCCTCATGTGAAGAACTCGCTCGACACCCCCCACAAACAACATGATAACAAACCATATCCGGATCCGCCCCCCTAACCAGTCCCGGTCTTGCTTTACACCACGCATACTCATTCCCCTTTCCCCCGCACCTGCAGCACGTCCATTTGCCACCTAGTTGTTCGAGTCGGCATTGCCCTGAGGAACACTCGAGAGAGGTCAGGCAGGTGGAGGAGGCGCAGGGGTTGTTGAAGTCCATTGTTTGTGTTTGTTGTTGCTGGCTGAGGGACATGGATGCGGTGGAGAAGTAGAGGGAGGTGTAGTCGACGGGGAAGGAGGTGCCGTCGTTGGAGTAGTAGGATGTTGTTGATGCGGAGGACTGAGAGGAGGTTGGGGAGGTGGATAAGGTTGAGATGCTGTTGGACATGCTGTTGGACATGGAGGCAGACATGGCTGTGGACGCAAGGTGAGAGTCGTCGTAGATGGCGTTGTTGCATGGTTGGCGGTTGCCGGTGGTGAGATCGATGGTGGCGTCGGGGCAGAAGAGGTAGTGGATTACGAAGTAGAGGTCTTTTGGGCAGGGAGGGATGTGGTGGTGGTGGAGGTAGTGGTAGGTGCACATTTTGTCCGTTTGTATTATTTCTTCTCTTCGAAGTCGCGACGGCCTTTGTATCCTGCTTCTCTCCCAATTTCTTGAAGCAGTTGAGTTTCCCCGTGTGTCTTGACTTCAAGTGGCCGAAACACTGATATGTCACCTCTCAAAGAAGTCTGGTGTTGCTCTATTGTCGTGTCCAATGAAGTTTGATTTGGATATAATAGTCCTTCTTTTGTCTGTTTCTGGAGTTTGACTAACAGACAGCTACAACTGGCCGTTCTCTTGATCGGTCTGCGTCTGTTTGTCTCAGAAGGAAGTTAATGTTAGCTTTTCCTTCAGCAATCTTTGATGCCGCAGTAGAACTTACAGGATGTTGTGGGATGAGCTTTGCGGTCTGGTTAGGCTCTTCTCTTAGCTGTCTTGAAGGTACGTTGTGGATCAATATTCTTTTCAAGAGTGTCTGTCAAGTGTCTGGTCGTCGATTGACTGGCCGGAGTAGTGATAAACTTCAAGTTGGAAAATGTTGTCGCTAACGACCCTTTTCCGGTACACTTGAGATGCACCTTGCCATCTCCTTATATCTTCTTCCTCTGTTCCTGTTCATTTCTACCCTTTCCTTTGCATCTGACTGGCATGTCTCGTCCGCTCCATCGTGCCATTCCTTCGGCTCGATGCCGATTCGATCTCTCCTTGAAGCTCCGTGGGGCAGCACAAACCAAGTGAACCCTGAAGCAGAATTCGGAAGTACTGGCCGCTGTGTACATCGCAGACTTCCTAATCAGGTCGATATTTGGCAAGCCATTGTCCAAGATGTGGTGTCATTTCCCTGCCAAGCAAGCGCCGTTACGGTCAACAGCTCAGCGAAGCACGTGGGTGCCTCGGTGAACGATGGGCGACTGTAAAGCATGGGAGAAACGTGGGTCTGTGAATGTAGTCGGGCTAAACTCTCGATGATGGTTGTACAAGCTCTGAGACAGCTGTGGTAGTGCCTCTTCTAGGGAGCCAAGCGCCGGGGACGTTGACTTCTCGGCTCTCTGATGCACTTGGGGCTTGAACTTGGCGACTGGATACTGCGATTTGTCCGCTATCAGTCAGCGATATCTGAGAGAGACCTTGAAGGTTCTTCAACATCCACATCTCGCCATATCTGCCATCAGACGAGTATGACGGTGTTCTCATCTCAACGTGGACGCCCTCCGAGAATAGCTTGGTTATAGAAATGCTTTGGGCGATTGCGGCGTCTCTACACGGCGTGGCCTCGCAGGCCCTCGATTCGGCGGTTTGCAGCGTATTCGGAATAAAGCGGCAACGGCACGGAGTCTGTGATGGTGTCGTGATGATCCAAGCTTCGCTTTCCTCTCGAGCTACGTCCGTAACCTAACGGATTTTGTAATCCGAATGGCTGTTTAGTCCAAAGCAGCCAGGCCGCCGAGGGGCCCGACTCGCATGACGCATCAATGATGAAACAGCCATCGTGTCGTTCTTCTACTGTCAATGGTCAGTCGCGGGATATCGCGAGAGATTCGGCAGAGCCCAACTCCTCCGGTGTCTTGACATGGACTTACAGCATAGGACTGAGACAGCAGCTGGGACTCCTGGGAGCTCGACCGGTCTCCCATGTCCAAGGTTGGTGTTGTCACACAAATCCTCGCTCTTTGGCCGCCTCCCGCCGTCCCATGGTGCAGACTGCAGAAGCGTTGAATGTCAAAAGAAGGACAGCATAGGGCCCGGATGGCGTTTCTCCTGAATACTTTTTTGCTGTTGATCCTTGCTGACCGGCCTCCGTAGCATGCGAGGGAAACGAGTGGCTTGCCCCTTTTTCTGCCAAACAATAAGAAAACATGTCATGGCAACGGCCCCACCTTCTCCTTTTTCGCCCCTTCGCTTCATGTAGAGAGGGACCCTTGGCGGAATGTCTTGGAGACTTGCAAATTTAGCTCAGCCTCCCAAGACAGTTGGGCCTGGCCGGCAATCGACATATGCTGACGCAAATAACGGAGAGTTAGTGGACTGCTCTCCGGCAGGCAAAGTGCGGCAACGTACCTACAGAATCAGAACAGTACCTGCATGCATTGTGCGTACGAAAGCTGCATGCGGTTGATGAGGCAGGATCAAAGACCTTGGAGAGGCAGGATCAAAGACCTTGAAGGAGCAGATCTGAATAGTCTAAGACGGGTATCATCTCACGACAATTCTCCTTCCGCGCTTGTCTCTCAGATCTTTCCGACCCCTCAAGGGCCACAGACGACTTCTCTTTGGATATCTTGCAGCCCCTCATAGCCCTATCAGTAATCGGTGGTTAGCCCAAGCCACAGAGCGAACGGTCAGCGCAAAGCAGCATGGAAATACTCCCAACAGAGCGGTTTTGGATGCGCCCATCACGTCTGTGGCTGGATATTGGGTAGGAGAAAAAGCACTGTGAGAGATACAGGTTGGATCGTACCTTGGTTACACGAAGGATTTTGGCATATCGCAACATCTGATCCCACATTTGCCTGCCAGGAACCTCGGCGAGGCGCAGGGAGAGGCGCTTTCATCTTCCAAAGGAGTTGAGAGTTTAGCGGCCATAAGCGAGATCTCAGGAGTACACGGAGGCGGACAATATATCTTGATGCGTTTTGTGCTCCGCCGGCTCAAACAATGTCTCGCGTGGTGGACAATCTAATAAAGAGTCTGGTAACGCCTCTTTGACACGCCAGCATCCGCTCAGCTCTAACTCATGGTGTATTTACGGAGGTGAAGTTGTGGTGATTCGAAGCTCGGAGTTGTCGTCGAAGGCAAATACTGAACGAAGCTGTGCGCGCGGTTACGACGAGTAACGAGGAAGCAAGACACTGACTACCACCAAGCCCGGGCAGCAAGTATTGACGCTGGCTTCCGCGAGCCCCGAGAATCAGTCGACTGTGGCTCAGTCGGGCCCGGATAGGAGCCGGAGTATTGTTGTCAAGTAGGAGACGGGCTCCGGGCTGAGTCTCATGGCTGAAACCACACGTGAAGTATTTTCTCAGGCCGGACTGTGGCACCGTAACGGCGTCTCTCGCTGAGGCAGCCAAGACCAAAAGGCCTCCTGTTACAGTCTGCGGAGGAAGCAGTTCAGTCTTTGCGGCGTGGCGTGGTATTGGTTCTGATACGGACTCGTGATGATGATGGGGACACCGGCGAGAAGAGATCGCCAAGGATCGAGATGAGTTTGGAACTAAACGGCAGGCATCGTCTTCTGTCGTGGAAGTCGGAGGGACCGGTGCCGCCGGCGTCACTCGGAGACCTTGAGGGGTTGATATCTGATAGCATCGTCAGCCGCATGTGTGGGTAGCGCTGGAAGCATAGAACTCATACATGACCTATAGCAAGGAGCACAGCTCATCCAGGCGAGCGCTTTGCTCGTAAGAGTGGTAGTGTTCACACCTCTATCCATGAGCTCTGGAGTACGGACAAAAGCTGTTTTTTACTGAAAACTGGAAGATTCAGTTGCAGTTCTCGATTGGCAGAGTGTTGGACAGGACTACTGGGAAAGTCGTGGCCCACCGCAGTTCATCTACCGTATTTTCAGACTGCGGGGCAGTCTCTCGTGGGCGGCAGGCTCGTCCGAGGTGACTTGAGCAAGAAGGACCAAGCCGAGGCACGAGAGCAAGTATGTCGCGCCAAAGGCGCTCCAGGTGGAAGGAATCTGTGAGGATGGTGAAGCAGGAGGAAGTCGCGGCGCAGGCCCGCGTCGACCAACTCTACCATACGAAGACGAAAACCACAACGAAAACCTCCAACTACTGCGCAAGGCCGAGGAGCAAAGGTGCAGAAGCTGACAATCCTCTCGACTACAGCAACCGCTCTGATTTAATCAAAGCGTGCCTTGAAGGCTTTTACCTGGGTTTTCCTTTCCTCTTCCTACAAGTGTCCAATCACGCCCACCTTACCATTCTTCGCACTTGCCTTTTCAACTTCCTGTCACCCCACCATCAAGCGTCACTCGCGGGCCACGGGCACCGCCCTTCAAGATTCCAAAAGCTACAACCCCGCAAGCCCTCCTCTCGTATGGCAGTCGTAGCCCACCATCGTTGAAGTTGCTTCACTCATCCCATCATTAGCCGGGCTTCTCACCCCTCAGACTCCTCCTCCTAAAAGCAGGGCATCCAATCATGTCAATCCTACCCATGCCTTGCTTTCCTGTTTCATCTTATCCCTCAACCTTTTGCTATAAACCCCCTGTTCTGCTTTGGATGAAGCAACCAGTTTCCTTGCGAGCGTGAATCTCCATAGCAACGTCATCAAAATAGCGAGTGTCGGTTTCCATCTCACCGTCAGCTACACGTAAGGCGCTAGATGTTTCACAAACATTCTTCTTCGCTTTTTACAAAAGATCTGAGCATTTCAGATGAAGTGCTATGGGTCAGATCACGGTCTAGACTCAGAGACATTAGCAACCAAGGTCCTGGTCTCTCGGGACCAGTCACTGGTCTGCTCACACCCTCGCAGGATTTACTTGTACGATAGCCCACATGGTTGCAACGTCTGGAGAGTATGTCCTCGACGTCTGGAGATTCTGATATGGACGTCGAAATTCAGATTGTGATTAATACACATCTTTTTGGACGATAGACCTTCAGTCCCTTGCCTCTATGTCCCCACATCTGACGTTGTCCTGCCGACCCCAGTTACGGATCATGGCAAAAGTCTAGTAGTATGTTGATACTACTAGGTCGTCACAGTTGCAGGCCTCTTCGCGTGAGAAACAGAGAGAACCATATGAGTTATCCTTGGTCTATTTAGTAACATTTGAAGACCAAGCGTGCAAAGTTGCTGTCGACGAGGGCTCCGCGAAGTCAAAAACCGGTGCGCAAAAACAACAAGGAGGGTGCGGGAGGTCCTGCCCAGAAGTTGAAAAGAGCAAACATGCTGTACTCGTCTTATCTCGCCTCGCTCTGCTCATCAGATCTAGTTCAGACGAACCATTCCCCTTGAAACTGCTTATGGACACGCGTGACAGTAGGCAACACTGCGTTCGAATAGACAATATCGGACTTGAAAGTGGGGCTCGCACTCTGTGCCTTTTTTCTTTATAAATTGCCAGTCTCTGACTGCTTTCCTCTTCTTCCTCTTTTCTTCTTTTTCAACTTTCTAGAAAGTCAAAACTGACTCACTCACTCACATCGACGTGACCAGACCTTTTCTCACAGAAAGTTTTTACTTCTTCACACACTCTCAACTCTCACCAACTCTCAACTCTCACACACTCTCGCAAATAACCACATCTCCTCCAACCATATCTCCTCAACCATGACTTCCCAGTGGGTGTGCTGCCAGTGCAACGCTACTGGTCGAACCGACGACCGCTGCGACTGGGTGCTTCACCAGGAACCCTACTCGCCTGATGCCCACGAAGCACTCCAGGAGCAGTGGTCGTCGTTTGACGAGGACTACCAGATCGTCGAGGATGATGGAGAGATCCTGGTCGTCTGCGACCACCAGAGATGCGAAGACTGCCCCAACTGGCATCCCCAGCCACAGCCTGCCTTGCCCCGGCCTGCCCGGCTCCAGCCAGCCAGGTTTCCCCAGCCGCCGCCCTGGCTTTGGCCTCCCCAGCCGAGGAACAACGTTCCGCGTGGTAAGTCATCTCAACTTGTTTTCACCCTTAATTCACCCCTACCTCAGAGGCGGCCAACGGCCAAACCTGGATCGCCGATCACCACGTCAAGGCCCATGGTGACCATGCCCTGGCCAGAATGACCGTTGCTGTGGCCGTCCATAAATGGAGATACATCTTGACATTTCAACCTGCCCATCAAGAATCAGCGAAGAGTACCTACCGTACATTCTAACTTCCATTCCTTTCCAGTCTCCAACACCATCTTCGGCGACGTCGCGGCGGCGAGGGGAGAGTTCGAGGGCTATGCCCAAGGGTCCGGGGACTAGCGCTCCTCGGCTCTTGGAGCAGACACCCTCGGCTCTCCTCTCGTCTCTGCAGGAGCAAAGCGCCCTCGCTCCCCTTCCAACAGCAGCAGCAGCGCCACCCCCAGCCCTCCCTCCAAAAGGAGGAAGCTGTCTGCGTCCGGCCCCTCCCTCTCCTCTGCCGCCTCCTCCTCCGGCGAGGAAGAGGACGAGGACGAGGACGAAGAGGAGGACGAGGACGAAGAAGATGACGATGACGACGACGACGACGACAACGATGACTTCGGCTCCGGCCCCGACTCTCGCCCTGGTCCCGGTCCCGGTCCTGGCCCCGGCCCCAGCCCCAGCCCCGGCTCTGGCTCCGGCTCTGATCAAAGGAAGGTACCAAACAAACGCCTTCTTTTGGTCAGAGCTGGATGCCGTGAGGGGGGCACACGACGACGACGAGCTCGGCCGCAGACGGGAGTTTCGCCCCTTGCTTCGTTGTGAGGTTACTTTGGGTGTGGGAAGGGTGGGTGGGTGGGTGGGTGGGGGGTAGTGGCGGTGGTGGTGGTGGAGGAGGAGGAGGAGGAGGAGGTGATGGTGGTGGTGATCGTGATCGTGATGGTGGTGGTGATAGTGGTAGTGATAGTGGTTGGGGGAAGTGGCAGTGACAAGGGAGCATGGTATTGGCATAAAAACCATATCCAGCTTTCACCGCATCACAACCGTACGACCACGACCACGACCAAGGAATTTATATGTAGTAGGAAGGGACAAGGTCGAGGTGATGGTATGGTTTTGACGGGATGATTTGTGGTTCGTCGTGGAGGAAACGGAGGGTGGACGGGAGGTCTTGGGATGGGAAGGTGTTAGTGTGGGGGGAGGTTGGCGCCGCTTGCACATATGGAAGGAGGAGTGCCGGAGACGTAATTTGAGGGCATCATTTTCGTAAAAGACCTTTGGTCTGGGACTTGATACGTTTGTTTGTTTGGGTTTGGGTTTGAGAAGCATTTACAAATGAGCAGAGTGGAGGGCTTTGGCGTCACTGAGAATAAATAAAGAATTGATGATCGACCTGGAACTGGATGGTACATCTACATGACTTGAATTGAATCTGAACGTGGTTTGACGACAGCTTGTTCGTGCTGTTACTGAATGAACATCAAAGACTCTATGACCCTCCATTGATATTACGTGCTCCTTGTCTCTGCTCCTTAACCAGCACATTCGCCTTCATATTGAACACACGCCCCATGATATCCGGACGCTTGTCGGCTGAAAGGCCGTTCAATGCACACCTCGAAAGGGCCGGAATTGTCGGTGGTGGTGCATTTCTTGCAGAACTTCGTATTCGCTTTCGAGGTGAAGAGATAACGCGCAAGGCCAGTGTAGTGCTCGTTAACGCTTCCCAACAGTACCGGTGACGCTCATCGTTGTATTTGTCCGACGACAAAACGCTGGTATACGTCATTGGCACCGATGCATAGCCCTCTAAATGGGTCGGTCCCCCATTGCCACCAACTCCTTCATCATCTTGTTCATGATGGGGTGGTCCAGCGCGGCAACCGGCGCTGCGAATGAGGACGAGTTTATTTTGACTGGAGTGGCTGTGTACCTGAAGTGTTCAAATTGAAGGCCGCGTAGAAGTATGGTGGGTGGGAAATCTTGTTGAACCTCTGGCCTGTTCGGGTTCGTGGTTATGGTAATAAAGAGAGTGGGCTTGCCGAGCTTTCGGGCAGTGGCCATAGAGTTTGGTGTTGTTTGGGCCAAGTTGCTGGGAGATACCAATTTATTTGTGCCACGGACGGTATCCTTGCTCCATCCGAACACCTCCAGGACCAATTCCGTCTAGATGTCCCTCAAACTTGAGATCGCACCGTGAGTTGCGACGGCCGGCCGGGACACTGACGGGAGGGTCATAGGCATTGTAGACCGCTCCCGTAACTGAAGGGGAGCAGACAGCGGCACCTTAGTTTTCCTTTCGGGCAAGCCTGTTGGAGGTCTTGGTGAGATTCTCTCAAGAATCCTGGCTTGCCATGAACGAAGGAAGCAGGAAATCTGGCCAAGGCATACAAGGAGTGATTTGACGGCTCGGTAAAGGGAGAATTGTGCCAAACTTCCAGAACCACTCATGCCACTCATCCTTGGTGAATTTGCCTTTGGCTTCGTTCTTTAGACGACCAGAGCTTGACTGATGTGAAGTCTCGTGGAAATGCTGAGTGTCTCTCGGCTCATACATGACCTTCACCAACGGCTCCAGCGCATCGTCTCGAGGATAATGGCCATAGCCGGTGATACCGCGCATAGAGACGTACGCCATCACCTCCAAGTCACGGCAGTGAAGCGATGAGGAGCGTCACTACCTACCTAGGCTATTGCTGTAAAAGAGGAGTAAATGTGAGACTCACAAGCTTGTGTGCATGGCCCATGTGGGACAATGATATCCGGGCACCTTGCAAGCTTGAAGCAGTGAGTGTTCTGCTTTAATCACTGACCGATTGAACCTTGACGTGCTTGGAACTTGGTAGGTAGGGGCGTGGAGCTCGAGATGTCGGATGCCCCGACGTAGGTGCCAGGTGTATATCCGACTTCAAGCGTCTGGAGTCTGGACATATCAACACCTAGAGGTATCATCAGCCTGAGCCCGGTAGCCTAGACGATACTGAATGATATGTTTTCCCCTGGAAGATCATTCTCTAACACTGTAGAGGTACGTAAATCCCAGAGCTGCGACTGCGTGCTCTTTGCCTTCCCAAGTGCTCACTCGTTTTCTTCACAACAATACGAGGGTCTCTTGCCAGTACGGATGTCAAGTGTCAACTGCCAAGCCAACGATGATACCTGGCGTTACCTGGCATACCTTCCTTCCTTCCTTCCTTCCTTCCTTCCTTCCTTCCTTCCTTCCTTCGACACCGGCCGGACCCGCCGAACCCAGACCACGCAGCAAACAACACCACCCCACCTGCCTGCCTCACCCGCACCTTCCCTGAACCACCTTCCTTCCCGTCACTTGCCCTTCATAAGCCAGTCTCCCCGAGTCACATTCAACAAACAAAAAAAGACGTGCAGTTAGTACAGTGGTTTAGTACTCTCGTTTCCCAAACGCCGCCGTCAAGGACCGACCCAAAGAGGTTAATCAAACGACATAGCGACCCGGGTTCGACTTCCGGACTGCGCACAGTTTCTTCTTTTTTTTTTTCTGGTCTTGCTTTTCTCTTTTTGTCTCACTGCTAGGTATGGATCGAAAGAGACTTCCATTGTGAATCTGGTATTACGTGCGTCAAGGGGCCCTTGTTACTTGTGTATGCTAACTGACATCCATTAAACTCACTCCGGGCCATCAAGGCTTCCATTACTATGCAAATTTTAAGTAGGTAGATATATACAATGGGTTGGTTCAAAAGAAGTCACTCCCCTCTTCGTCTTCCACATTACCATCAACAACCTTCCTCCATGTCCCATGTCTTCCTTCTTTGGAGGCATCACCCCCAGCACCCCTAGGCTTCATCCTCACTCCCTGCCCTTTCAGCGCCGCATACCCATTTGCGCCGTTTGGACTTGCCCTCCCCTCATTCTCTTTTTCGTTCCCTTTCCCGTCCACGTCCACATCAGCCTTCATGTTTATGTTCCTTTCCGCAGCACCAGGACCAGGACCAGGACTAAAATCCAACCAGGAATTATCCCCTCCCCCTCCCCCTCCCTTCTTCTCACCACCATCCCGATGCTCGTCACCATCCTCGTCCTCCGGTTGTCCAGGGGCAGTTTCGATTCGGGCGGAGGACGAGGACGAGGATGACGAGACCTCAGCAGCTATCAACGCCCGCATGATCCCCAGCCCCTCTTCCCTTTCTGCTTCGTCGGTTAGTCCTTTGCTAAGGCCCCAAGCGGCCATGAAGGAGGTGATTCCGCGGTAGTTACGGTGTAACCAGAGTAGCTCGCGAGAGGAGAGGTAGTTGCGGGGACTCCAGATGGGCGTTGTTGGTGTTGGTGTTGGTGTGGTACCTCTAGGTAGAGGTACCTGGACGATTGGTGTCGGCGGGGTGACGGTGGGTGTTTGGAGTTTATGTTGTTGGAGGGGAGGGGTTGGTGCTGCTGTTGCTGTTGTTGTTGTTGCCGTTGCCAAGTCGAAGTCTGTGAAGGCGCTGTGACCTGGCCCTGTTTTCTCTGTAGACCCTCGGAGGGAGGAAGAAGAACTGGATTTTGATAGTTGGGGTGCATGCTGCTGCGGCGGTCTCCGAGTAGACCTCGAGTAACTTAAGCTGTCACTCCGTTTGGGAATGACATGCGTCGGCGGCGCTGATTGGGAAGACGCGAGGGCCGAGGCCGAGGCAGAAGATGCCAATGATGAAGAGGTTGAAGGCTTCTGCTGGTGCTGTCGCTGTTTCTCAGGTGGAGGAGCAGTTGCCGATCGCGAGGGAGCATTTGCAGAAAACTGCCCAGACTGAGACAGAGACAGAGAATAAGAGGGAGGAACGGGCCATATGCTCTCCCTTATTCCACCACTTCCCGATTCAGCAGCCTCCATTTGCGGTGGTGTCAAGGGAGGAGACAGGACTCCCAATCCGACTGCGTACCCAATCCCAAGAGAAACGTCGTTAGAGGAGGAGGTGGTAGGCGGCGATAATGGCATGTCGCGAGTCCTGCTCCTGCTTCCACTGCGCTGGACCATGACATTGACAATATGAGGAGCTCCCTGTTGCCTCTCCCTTGGAGGAGTATCTTCCCGCTCGCCAAATTCCGACTCGGATTCCACAGAGGAGGTGAGTGGACTGACGCCGATAGCGCCAGTCATGTTGATGTTATCCTCAGCCCTTCTTCCACCGTCAGACACCAAGGGCGTGACGCTACCGGGGGCTCCGGGCGGTGGTGGTACAGGAAGAGGTTTCCATTTGGAGTTACTCCTCGTTAGTCCTTGGGGCTTCCACGTCTCTTCGGGCCTTGTGGCGACAGCTGCACCACCTTGCCCCTCTTTCTTGTCTGCTGAAAAAGACGAGGACGACGAGTTGGAGGGCACCCTCAACGGCGCGGGGTGAATACTCCCATCACTCTTCGTATGCCTGTGCCGCGACTGGTGACCTTGACCTTCAACTTCATGATCCCTCCCTCCATTGTATCCACTTCCAATCCCTCCCAATCCCAACTCCCTTAACTGCGGCCGCTCATGCAACTCCGGACTAACCGGCCTCGGCGGCTTCCCCGTCGCCGTAGCAGGCTTGGTGATAACCGTCAGTGATTCGGGCGGGTCGTGGTACAAATCCGACCATTGCGTGACTCGGCTGTCGATGCTGTTGGCAACGCTGGCCCGTGTCTGCTGACTTGTTGGGGCGAGGAAGTTGGATGACAGAGAAGATGAGTGCACATGGCTGTTGGATTCATGTTCGACACGGCCGCCGCCGAGGTGGATGATTTCGAGGGTTTGGTGGCCTGAATTGGAGGAGGAGCGGCCGGAGGTTTTGGTTTTGGATTCGCTTCATGGTGAGTGTTAGTGATGGCTTTGGTGATGTGAAGGGGCAGCGGAAGGGGAAGTGGGAAAAGGAGAGAAATGTGAAGACGTACCGGCTGGAGTTGGACCTCTTCACCCACTCCCTCACTCGCTGAGTGGACTTGCCGCCTCCAATCATTCTTGATCCGGAATCTGAAGGTGACGGAGACGAGAGAGGTGAGGTGAAAGACCTGCTCAGTGATGACGAAGGCCGTTCTTGAGTTTGACTTTCCGCACCCGCATACCGTTGGTGCTTAGTTTGGGAGGTCGAGGTAGAAGCCGTAAAAGTGTTTGACCTTTTTGGGACATGCAAGTTCTGGTTGTGTCCGTTATGGTTGTAAGTGTGACCCCTCGAACCATGAGAACTGCCACTGGGTAAGGGAGGTAATTCCCCATTTAACGACTCCGGGATGGTCTCCATGTTGTACTTTACAAAGTACTCGGCAATGGTGTATTGCTGAGTCGGATTCCAAGTGGTGGCTGTCGCGGCTGTTGCTGAACTTCGCAGTGTCGTCGGCGGTACCTGCTGTGGTGATGGTGCTGTCATTCTGCATTCCTTGTCTGCAGCATTCACAAGCAAGGCAGCAAGGGCTGATGGATCATGATGATCACCGCTTCGGACCGGTAGGGAGTGTGGAGGTTGCGATGATGGCGCAATACTACCGGCGCGTTTTCCCGGTAGTCAGGTTCCTTGGTGTCTTGGTGATGTGCAGAACTGCAGATGGTGAGGGAGTTCTAGGCCAGGCGGATGAGGAATTGAGTATGGTAATATATTGAGCAGCGCCAGGGTTCCATTCGCGTGCCTATTTTGGCCACACTGGAAGTTTGGGCTCCGGATGGCGGGCTGGACCACATGGGTTGATGGGGTATCGATGTTTCGAAGGTTCGCTTTGCTTCGGAGGTTCGCTTTGTTTCGAGTTCCTGCACGGAATGGGGGAAATGCACCTCGTTGACGACACATCGAATGGTCATGGATCTGGTATCATAGTGGCATGTTGATGATTTCGGCCCCCTTCCGCCGATGTTTGGAAACATCCTGGAATCGGTCGTATGAGTGGTCGACGTTGTTTCAAGCTCGTCCCCCAAGGGCACCGTAGCTGTGGGTGTCCATGTGGTTTCCGGGCGAGGAAGCGAGCCCATTGGCTGGGACGAGGGCAGACTAAACCCAATCAATCTCGAGAGTTCCAGCCAATCCGACATCGCAAACGTCCAGGAGGTATATCAGCCTCCATTAAGAAACGTTGCTGAATGCTACATACTCCCGAAGTGTCCATCGTCGGAGATCACAGATTACGAGATAAGCAATGTTTTTAAGTGATGAAGTTGGTGTCTCACGCACCTGTGAAATATATTCTATTAATAAGCAGACCGCTCCCAAACGCCTTGATGCATACCCTAGCTAATATCTATCCGATGCAACTCCAGGCCAATGCCCTTTCTCGTAACAATCGTGTACTCATATCATGCCTCTGTAGTTCCGTAACTGCCGTGATCTGCCGAGGCTCCGGCGACAGGTCTTCTCCTTAGGAGTGATTCTCTCTCGGCAGAAGGAGCATTCCTCGCAGAAATCTTTCTGTATCGCACCACTTCCGCCCCGGTCTCATCAATAATCTTCTCAGCCACAAGCTCATAGCCCCCAAACCGAGGCAGAACCTTGGTCCATACAACCCAGTACACAGCACCGAGGCCAAGGACTCCGGTGCCAACGAGAGGGAAAGCGTAGTACGGGTAGCCGTCGGCATTCCAGTCGTCGTTGGGTGGGATGAACGGGGTAATGGCAAGGAAGATGTTGAGGCAGAGGTAGATGAAAACCACTGGTAGCCAGGTGCGCCAGGGTGAGCTCCATCCTTCGGTCTTGCTGAGGCGGAGGTAGATGAGGCCGCCGGCAACGAGGCCGTTGATCCAGGCGTTCGGGTATGTGTATCTAATGCCAGAGTTAGAGTTGACCCCTGCAGCAAGGAAGAAGGGAACACACAGATTGACAAGGAAGTTGTACGCTGGTCCGGGAGGAGGCCCGACAAGGACAATAACAGTCACGATCCAGTGGAGTAGCAGCTATCACAGAGTCAGAATGACAACACTAACATACGACTCGAGCAACTCACTGAAGCAGCACGCGTGCCGAACGGCTTGGTCGACGCCCAGAACTTGCTTCCAGGCAAAACGCCTTCCTTTGCAAGTTCTTGGTTCACCCTCGAGTGTGCAAAGCTCACGGCCAAAACATTGCCAATGTTGCTCAAGGCCACAAGAGCCGGGAGACTTTTGGCCGCAGCGCTCTCTCCAAACATGTTGCGGAAGAAGAGTCCGGCCACGATGACCTCCGACTTGGCCAGCTCAGCCTTGGGAATAGCAGCGAAGTAAGCGACGTTGGCGAGAACGTAAAGAATGGTCACGCCAACGACCGCCAAGGGCGCCGCGATGGAGAGTGTCCGCTTGGGATGCTTCAGCTCGCCCATGACGTAGTTGGCATTCTCCCAGCCCTTGTAGCTGTAAACGACCTGAAGGAGGGCAGTAGCATATGCATACGCTCCTCCGCCCCCAAATCCATCGCCCTTTTCGATAGACCAGATGTCGTCAAAGTTGTGAGGGTCGGGAACTCGACGATGGCCAGCCAATGCAGCGAAGCCCGAGAAGACAATCAGTAGTAGGACTAGTACTTTGAACACGCCGAGTGCGTTGGTGAGCCTCAACCCCCATTTGGGAAAAACGGAGTGGAGGAATACGACGAAACTGATGCACAGCACGGCAATGGCCCGGGCCGGCCATCCGTCAGGCAGGTCGTATCCTAGGGCCAGCAAGACATAGCGGCCAAAAGCGAGCGAGTTTCCGGCAGAGAAGCCGAGAAGGACTATCTGAACAGCAAAGACGCTGGTGACGAGATAGGCAGGTTGTCGATATACTCGTTCGAGGTAGTTCTTTTCGCCTCCGGATTTGGGGATGGCCAGGCCGAATTCCAGATAGACGCCGAGTCCGGATAGTGTCAGAAGACCAGCGACGCCCCACATCAACAGGCAAATACCAACGGAGCCTGTGGAAGCGAAGATGCTGGATGGTGTTGAGAAGATGCCCGTTCCGATCATCTTGTTTAGGATCAAGAAAACGGCACCTGTGACGCCGATTTTCCTTGACTCTGGTACTGCATATTCCAGGGAATCTCCGGAGATGGGTAGGCCGTTGACGTCGAGGATCTCGCTAGCAGCAACACTGTTGATACTGGCGGCATCCAGGTCCGGAGATGCCAAGGGCTTGGGCCCTTTTCGGTCGGTGCCCATTGTGGTGGTATGGGATGTTCAAACGGTGAAGGATGAATTTTGACAAAACTTTATAAACGGAATGCACACAATGCTAACAGACGGCCTCTTTTAAAGGATCTTGACAAGACACTGGTCGGTGAGCCAAGAAACATCGACATGTTGACATGTTGATATCTGTGATGGGCAGATGACAAACCACCAAGTGTGGTGGTGATCACTAGTACCTAGGGCCGATGGCGTGCTCGTGGGAAGCGATTTGCAGTGGTTGGTTGTTGCAAGCACCATTCCCGATCCGGAAGTGGATTGTGTTCCCGGTCAGAGGACGTCTGCCGTTCAACCGGAGTGCGCCGGGGGTGTCCCGGCCGGAAGACGAGATCAGTGCTGACTCCGTGTTCCGGCGCCGGATGGAGTCCGAGATCTAAACATCTGCGCTTGCAGTTGTGGTTCTGCTCTTGGCATTGCTGAAGAGCCATCTTGAACATCTTCGGATGAGGGGGGCGGCGGGGTCCAATATGGTCCAAATAACGGCATGAGTTTTGAGTGAGAAGAGTGCAATGACAATTCAGTGGCCACGACTGAAATGAACCGGGAAGGTGTCGTTGATGGCAATGCCCATTCAATATCCAGGCGATGAAAAGTGAGGTTGAAGTTGAAGATGTGACGGACGGACTCCATCCGAGCGTGTCATTGCGCGTGAACGATGAATGAGACGAAACGACTCAGGCGTCTCGACGGCCCGACACAGCCCGGCAGAGGACATCCCCCGGCTGGCACTGCACCGCGACTGGCGTGCCTGGCCCAGCGCTCCCGCCCTCAGCCGCCTTACCGACCCCTGTCAAAGGGTCCACTAAAAAGATGTCGCCCCTCCCGTCTTCAGCCCGGTGCAGTGACTCTTCAGTCCGCCCTACTTATCGACCCCGCTATCGGCCGGCCATTGGATTTGTGAAGCCATCTTCAATCGCGAATCCCAACCAGACACGCGCCGCCGTTGATTGTCCTTTTCCCAATATCGCGACACGAGCGAACCTATAATCACCATGACCACCGATTCCACTCTTGCCGCGACGGCCGACGCCAAGCTCGCCCTCTCTGGCGACAACAAGTTGACCAAGGAGCAGCAGCTTGCCCTCATCAACGTCAACTTGGCCGAAGTCCTCAACCCCGAGATTATCGAAAAGGTCATTGACGAGGGCCGCGCCCCGAGGATTTACTGGGGTAATTACGACTCCACTTCCATGTCATCAGAAGAATTAAAGGCTAACACATTTGCTCCGTCTACAGGAACTGCCACTACCGGTCCGTACTACTTGTCGCAAACCGCTTCACATGCTCGCAACACCTAACTGACACCCGTTAAAGGCCGTCCTCACTGCGGCTACCTAGTTCCCGCCATCAAGATCGCCCAATTGCTCGCCGCCGGCTGCCATGTCATCGTCCTCCTCGCCGATATCCACGCCGTCCTCGACAACCTCAAGTCCACCGTCGAGCTCGTTGGCTACCGCGCCAAGTACTATGAGCGCACCATCACCGCCCTCCTGAAGGCCGTCGGTGTCCCTACCGACAAGCTCGAGTTCGTCCTTGGCAGCTCCTACCAGAAGAGCCCCGAGTACATCATGGATGTCTACAAGCTCGCGACCCTTGTCTCTGAGCACGACGCCAAGAAGGCTGGTGCTGAGGTTGTCAAGCAGTCCGACAACGCTCCTCTTTCCGGTCTCCTCTACCCTATCCTCCAGGTCCTCGACGAGGAGTACCTCAAGGTTGATGCTCAGTTCGGTGGTGTCGATCAGAGGAAGCTGTTTGCTGCTGCCAAGGACTGGCTTCCCAGGTTGGGCTACAAGGAGGTATGTGATCACTTGGCTGAGGAAGAGCACAACGGGATACTAACGTACGGCTAGCGCGCCCACATCATGAACCCCATGGTCCCAGGTCTTCAGGGTTCCAAGATGTCTTCCTCCGACCCCGACAGCAAGATCGATCTCCTCGACGCCCCCGATGTCGTCACCAAGAAGATCCGTAAGGCCGAGGCTGCCCCCAAGGTCACCGAGGGCAACGGTCTCATCTCCTTCATCGAGTATGTCCTGCTGCCCGCGGCTCAGCTTCTCGGCAAGGAGGGCTTCCGTGCCGACCGCTCGCGCGACAACCTCGAGCCCCTCGTCTACACCGACATTGCCAAGATCAAGGCCGACTACGAGAGCGATGTTGTAAGTTGCCTCGCTTTATCCTAGTGAAGAGGATACTAACATGACCACAGCTCACTCCCCAACTCGTCAAGCCCGCCATCTCGGCCGCCATCAACGAGCTCCTCGCCCCCATCCAGACTGCCTTCCAGGCCTCTCCCGAGTGGCAGGAGATTGCCACCAAGGCCTACCCTCCCGAGGTCAAGGTCAAGAAGGAGAAGAAGGTCAAGAACAAGGGTACCCGCTACCCTGGTGGTGCGGCTAGGGACCAGGATGCGAAGGACGAGGCTACTCCTGAGCCTGCGACGGAAAACGCAATGACTGCATAGAATGTGTTTGATTGATGAACTATTTTCTTGCATCTAGCGTCTTTGTTTTTTGATCATGTTTGGCTGGGTTTTGTCATGTAGGGTAGATAAAGGGAGTTATAAAAGTGTATAATGTCAGGGTTTGTTTCTGGGTCAATGTTGCAATACATGAGCATACTGCATGGGTAGAGCTCTGGTCTCGCGATACGGCGACACATATGACCATGCATCAAGGGACAGGAAGATACGAAATGTGTTCTCTCCACGGCACGAAAGTCAAAGTCTAGAAAGACTATTGAGCCGTGACCTCCACCAGCAGTGATCATCTTCCACATCCCCGAGCAATGGCACACACACATATCTCCAGCCGTCACATCGCAAGAGCCGGCGTCTTTCGTTAAGAAGCAAGCTATGAGGCATGGCGGTACAGTATACAATCAATATAGCACAGCACGCATCTAGATAACAGACGCAAGACTCCGAAGAGCGGCCATATGGACACAACAAAACACCCTCATAAAAGAGAGCATCTCCTACTACGGTGATAAAATGTAGATCTCAGAATGAAACCACCGCCAGACTGATTAACTGACGTTAGAGATTAACGAAGGATCATTTCTTCTTCGAGCGTCCATGGGAACCAAAGCTCCCTTGCCACGTATGCACTGCTCACTGAAGAAACCCAATGCTATGGCTGGAACAACCCGGACTATCTGAAGAAGAAGAAGAAAAGGAGAAGAAAGTTTCAAAAGAATTTGCGACGCGCGCGATTTGTAGATGTAGGTCGAGTTTCTGATGGTCTGTGCACCCGTAGTGGGGTTGTGGTTTCTGGGTGGATTGTCTGCCATCACGTGCTACCGGAAGTCTTGGAACTTGGGGACAAGAAAAGGATGACGACAGAGGGTTAGGGTCAAGATTCGAATTAGCTTTGTTCCTATTGGTCGCATTCATACCGAGGTGCCGAGAGCTCCAGTTTGTTGCCGCATCCCGATGTCTCTGCTCTGGCGGGCAGGGCAGCAGCGAGTGCGGTTCACAGGCGTGGCCGTGGGTGCGACGAATGCGCGAACGGGTCCCGGGACGTCCTCGGGAAATGGAACATCATTGATTGACCGGATTGACCTCCAGAATCCCCAATCCACATCCACCCCTTCGATCCCGGTAGACAGAGCGACACCAGCCTGAAAGTCCTCGGCGATTCATCTGCTGCACCTTGTCTCCCAAACCACCAACCATCACACCCCCTCCGTCGTCACTTCGTCGTCGTCGTCAAAATGATTGCTCAGCGCGCTGGTACCACCGCCCTTCGTCGGGGTATGTCTCAACGTTTTTCTTTGTCTTTATATGTTGCGCATTGGGTGCAACAAGTAATGATGCAATATCTATCCCATCCTATACCTCCCGGCCCACGCGACTTATCCCCGTCCCCGCGTGATATCGTGAAGAAGATGGAAAGGCTAATCGCGCTTTAACATTCACAGTGGCCGCTGCCCCTAGCAGCGTCTTCAAGCTTGCTCCCCTTGCTATGCAGACTAGGTAGGCACCGACCCCCCTCTCTCGAACATATACTCTCTCCTCCGTCACCGATGTTGCGATCCCGCGTCCTCTGGTTCTGTGTTGTCCGGGGCTCCGGCGGTTACACACCCAATACCTCCCCTCCCGTCGCCATGGTTACCGGTCGCGATAGATTTATCTCCAGGAAGAAAGAGGAGGAACACCAACAACAACAGCACCGGCGCAAAGACACCAGGAAGCTACCGAGATACCCGGCGGGATACGCGCGCCCAACCGCTGAAGCACCCGTCACCACCACCAAAACCAGCCAACACAACTAGTTATCACCACTCTCACTACCACCGTCACCACCAACTACCACCACACTCGCCAATCACACATTACCCACCCATCCATACCTCCCATCTCGTAACGAAACCCAGACTAACACCGCCAACCCTCTCACCAAAAAACAGAACCTTCCAAACCGACAAACTCACCCCCGCCGAGGCCTCCGCCCTCCTCGCCCAACAACGTCTCAAGCGCCCCGTCTCCCCCCACCTCGAGATCTACGACCCCAAGCAGACCTGGTTCGGCGGTTCGGCGTGGCAGCGCATCACGGGCGCCTCGTTTTCCGGCGCCCTGTACGCCTCGGCCGTCGCCTACCTCGCCGCCCCTCTCGTCGGTTGGCACCTGGAGTCCGCCTCGCTCGTCGCTGCCGCCGCTGCTCTGCCCGTTGCTGTCAAGGGCGGACTCAAGTTTTTGGTGGCCTGGCCGTTTGTGTTCCACGCCATCAACGGTGTGAGACACTTGGCTTTTGATTTGGGCATTGGGTTTACAAGGGCCACGATTATCAAGACTGGTTGGTACTTTTGGGGTGCGAGCATTGTTGGCGGTCTTTACTTGGCTTTTTTCATGTAAATCATTCCCACTAGGGATGGTTTGCTGAGGGGGTAGAGTAAAGGAGGATTAGGAGGAAGGAAAGATTGGGTGGAAGGAAGAGGACTCTTGGACAAATCCTGCGGTTATTATCCACGGAAAAGATTGGAGAGAACTGGATTGTCGCGTGTTGTATGAGTACCTAGGAGAGTGAGGTGTTGGAATGGAAACATTCAATCTTTTTTTTCGTGTGAAGCACGATTATGCGATCTTGATATCCGTACAACAGATACCTATGTGACAGGCAGTTTGGGCTGGGACGGTAAGACGAAGGCCAATTCCCAATGATCCAGTTTAATGGACCATTACGTGGGTGTCGAGGTGGCAAAGTAGACCAATGAATGACCACAGCAAGGACTTATCACGGAACAGCCCGGAAGGCAAGCAAAGAACGAGCTGCTTGGCTTATTTTTTTGAGCAGTAACTGCGTACTTCAAGGCCACGAAAGCCGACTATCATTACAAACTTCATCAAGCCTGTCTGTGTATTCGACTAACCAAGTCCATTGACTTCAAATGAAAACCAAACCCAAACGCCACGCTGTGATAAAAAGATAGAAAAGGCAATAAAGTTACAACTGCAGAAATGTGTGGCCTGCGTAGGAATCAAAACCGGTGTGCTGCCGATCATTTTCTTCCCCAGTCACTCTCAGTTACTCAACCCAGAGCTCAGTCCTCACCCTCATCTGTGCCCTAACCTCTTCAGCATCCATCCATATTAATCAATTTTGAGATGTTGGGCGGGTAATGGGTTCCCCCTCCCCCAGCAAGATTGTGAGCTGAAGCAGCAGCCTCGGCAGCACTAGACGACGATGACGTAGCAACAGGTTGTACCACCGCCTCTAGTGAATTTGTCCCGGCAATCGTTGTCGTTGTCAGGTTTGAAGGACTCTCACTGCTGCGCCCAGCTGTCTCTGACGTAGCCGGTTCACGACTACTACGCTCACGCTCATCAAGAGCGAGACGAGCCAGCGGCAACAGCCTTCTTCCCCTTCCCCTTCTCCAGTGCAGAATGATTCCCATCAGCTCATCGGAAGATCCCCATCAGCTAGCTTCAGCATCCGCATCCGCACCAGGAGGCTAAGGGGTGTGCGTGCGCCCAATCGTCTGTGAACTCCCCGACCGCTCCCTCGCCTCAGTCTTCCCACCGACCTCGTTCTCTTCCATAATCAAGGCCTCGTCGGCGCGGGATCCCTACTCCAAATGCCTCACCTCCAAAATGCCCCGATTCAAATGCTGGTTGCCCAACCTCGCTACCCTCTCGCCGATCGTCCTTCCCAGAAACTCAATCACCAACTGGCCCTCCCTCTCCAGCTCGGCTACGTCGGCGACATTAGGCAGGGTGATGCCCTCCACCAGCGTTTCGATGGCCTTCATGATGCCTCCGACAAGCGCTTCGTACTCGAAATGGCTCGCTTCGCCCTTTTCGCGGAGCGGGGTGAGGATGCCCTCGTCGAACATCTTCAGGTTCGGCAGAACCAAAATGCGCACGGCTTCGGGCCCGCCGGCTGCCGCAAGACCGCTGATGGCGCCGTACAAGACGGCGGGAGACTTGCTAGGGTCAAGGAAGAATTTGAGGCAGGTGCGGGTGAGCTTGGGACGCAAGAGGGCATTGGTCTTGCTGTATTTCCTGGCTATGGTACCCAGCAGACTGGCAGCCACTTCGCGGAGGCGGTACTGGTCCTTTAGAGCGTCGGTCCCTTCCAAGCTAAACTCCGATCCGCCCAGCTTGCGGGCCATGAGGCAGGTTAAGACGGGGGCGGCGAGGGAGGAGGCGTAAGGGTCGAGGAAGATGGAGGGGTTTTCGAGGATGGCGCCCGTGAGCTCCATCATTTGGCGGAGCACAAAGAGGTCGTCGAGTCGGTGGGTTACTTGGTTGTTGATGAAGGAGACGAAGTAAGGCACGAGCTGGTGAAGGCCGGGGTCGGAGCGGACCGAGTCGAGAGCCGCAGAACGCAGGCGCGTCTTCTCTTCGTCTGGGTCGTCGTCCATGATGGCCGCTTGCACTTTGTCGAAGTAAAGGATGAGCTCTTTACTGATGACGTGCTTAACGGCGGGGCGGAAGGCGACGTTGTCGTTGCCGGCGAGGGCGGCGACGGCGGGGTTAGCGCCGGGACCCTTGGGCAGGAGGTCTTTGGAGGAGGTCTCGGCTGTGGTGGGGTTTTGGGGGATGGAGGGTTGGACGCCGTCGATTGCGAGCCAGTGGGCTGGGAAGGCAACAGTTAGCTGGTGTTGAGGTCACGCTTGGGTGAGAGGGGACTGAAGCTTACCAGTAAAGCTCATGTCGCGGGGCACCTTTGGTAGAGGAGCGTTGATGACCTTCTCAAAGTCCACCTCCTCGTCTTCAATGTAGAATAGCGGTTGACCGGGGCCAATGCTAGCTTCCCCGTAGCGAAGTGGTCGCGTGGAATCGTATCCGTAGAGGGGCTCGACGTCGAGAACTCTCAGAGCTTGCGAGACATCTTGTACTGTCAGAGTTGTGCGGTTGGCGGCGCGCATAAAGCGTAGGGCCTCGACGACGACCTGGCCAATTCGATATTCGACATCTTGGGTGAGGACGCGGAGGGGCTCTTCGGTCAAGTTGATTCCTATCGACTCGGCGACATCCTTGACGTTCTCGGGGTTCCAGAGGAGCTTCGGTCCCTCCCCTGCCATGGTTCGTGATTGCGTTGGTTCTGTTTGGGGATACGGTCGTGTGATTTCGGTGGTGGGATGTTGGTCTTGAAATCGTCGACTCAAGTCGCGTGGATGGAAGCTGTCGCGTTCGGTGATGGTGCTCGCTGTAGAATGATGTACAGGTCAAGTTCACGGTGGATGGACAAGGGCAACTGACGAACCACAAAAGAGGGGCCCCGCAGTGGGACCTGAGTGGTTCGTGCCTGGACGGCCTAGCCGATTAGGGTTAGCGCTGGGCGCTCAGTGAAGGTGCTCCACATGTCTCAACGACGTCCATCGACTTCATCTCTTCAACTTCAACTTCCCATCACTCGTTTATAACGTCGAATTTGTCGCCTGTAGCTGCGATTGCGAGCTATAATCCATTTCTGTTTGTGCCTGTCGAGAGAGCAACCCCTCGTATCAAACCCACACGCACACGAAAGGTAATCTGTTCCCTCCCACCTGGACTCACGAGCGGTCGTAAGAATAAACCGAACACGTTACAGTCAGTACATTACACCTTAGGTATACTCTTATCACGCATCCAAGCGCATTTAATATTCCTTTGGACCTAAATTCTAGGCAGTTTCTGAAGGGAAGAATCCCTAATTGACTCTGGCCGATGTGTTTTCAAATTATTGTGATCCCTATCACTGTTTTGTAACGGCCTTTCCTAGCCAAAGCGAGCCGTCCGTATTGGACTGTCCATGACGTTCGGTTTATTTTTACGGCCACTTCGACTCACCATTGTGAATAGCTTCAGTCTTTGACACTTCAACATTACGGCTCGTTGATATGGAATCCATTCCAAAATCACACCGAAAGGTCAACTTCAAAACATTGATGCAGCGACCTTGTTTATTTCTTACCTAGTCCACTGAACCCCATCCCTTCGTCATATCACAAGTCAGGGATGAGTGAAAGACCATTTTTATATCTGTGACATTCCACTTGTTACCAGCCGCCGCTCTGTCTTTATGTTTCTTATCTATGTTCGCAAGTGCGCGCTCGTTTCTCTAATATCCCTCACTTGTGCTTCTATTCCACATTTGATTCTCGTGGGGACTGTCGTATGTTATCCCGAGCCTTTCGTACCTGACTGCGGTAGCTGGTGTTGATAACGGAGGGTAGCATTTAGCGGCTCAAAGTATGGTTCACACATGGAAACATCATACCATTGAGTGTTGGTTATCGCATGAGATGTAGGAAAGTTCCGCACTGTTTCGATTCTCTCGTTCGAAGTATTTGCGGAATCATGAATCGACATAGCCGATCCTCCTGCCCTTGTCACGGAGCTAGCTGTTCCATGCATCAGTGGCTAAATGCCATCAAACGTCCTTTATCCCGATATCCTTATTAAACGCTCAACGTCGCCAGATATCCATGGTACTCTAGCCGAGGAACCCCCAATTATCATTGGCTCATCTCCAGCGGCTTACTGTTTAGCTGTTTCGCATGTTGCCAGCGTTGCCTGCGTACCTGGAACATTGCACGAGGAAGAAACACCAAAAAAACAGGACTCTTTGGGGACGGAGAAAGCTTCATGGTCAGCATTCTGTCAGAGATGGTTACACAAAAACAGTTCAAAAGACAATGCGAGGCTAGAAAACACACCAATTCACCGAGGGAAATTGAAGTCCGATCTGGACCTGCGGCTTACCAAAGGCACCTTGGATCCAGGTTGCGTCCAATATTGTCGGCCCCTCGAAAGACCAGCCGGACTGTGTGCTGGTCTCTGGTAGCAGCGCCGTCACGAGAGTCACATCTCGATCTTGCGGTCCGGATGAGCCGTTGGCTGGGTCGGTACCCGGTCACGTCTTCTTTACAAGTAGGTTCTGCCGCGGCTTGATGCGACCCCAAGAGATTCTACGATCTGGATCAGCACTGCTATACAAGCACCTTGACGGCTGCTCGACCCATGGCCAACATGCAGCACGGCATCAAAGCACCATGCTTACTGCCGTAGATTAATCTTCGGATACGCTTAGTCGAAGGACCTGTTTTTCCTGAGACGCACAATCCCGCAAGGCAAAAGATTTCCGACCCCCAACGTCGATCAACTCTTTGCCCCCTGATCGTTAATAAACATGAGTCGGCAAAACAAAGACGTGATCCAATACTCTGCTCAGCAGACCGAAATCGCACCTGAAGGAGAAGTAAGGGACCTATAAGTGGGCAGACAACCGTATGATCTTTTCCAGCAATGGTGTCATCACTTACATTTTCCACTCTCGTTTGAGGATCACGACGACAGACGGCGACGGCAACTAGCTAGTGGTCGACCCCACATTCGGCCTCGAAGCGAGTATAACTCGACCTGCATTTCCCCGGATATCTCCACGTTTTCTATACATAGACGTCTTCCAGAACCAGGACTCAGAGACCTGCCACAAGCTTGCCAAGAACATCATCCACATATTTGTCATACTTCATTCCCGTATCACGTTACCACACGGAATTCCTCAACATCATGTTACCCCTTATAGCCCTCCTACCCATCGGAGGCTTGGCAGCCGCAGACATCTCACCCTTCGAAAAGGCCGACATCCTCACAGACTGCCTTACCCAGTCCAGCGTGCCCTGGAACACTCGCGGATCCAACGACTGGAAACTGGATGCCGCTCCATACAATCTCCGACCAAATTTCACACCAGTCGCCATCGCCGTTCCCACCACCGTCAAAAACATCCAAGATGCGGTAGTCTGTGCCTCCAAAATAGGGGTAAAAGCCAACGCCAAGTGCGGCGGGCACAGCTATGGCTCGTTCGGGCTCGGAGGAGAAGATGGTCATCTTACCATCGAGCTGGACAGGATGAACAAGGTCGTGCTAGACAATACCATCGGCATAGCAACAGTAGAAGGAGGGTCGCGGCTGGGACACGTTGCGTCTGAGCTCTACAGCCAAGGGAAATGGGCGTTCAGCCATAGGACTTGTCCAGGGTAAGCCGGGCTCTTCTCCTTTCCCCCGTCACCCCCCTCAAAACCAAGGCACAAACCCAACTAACCCTTCAACCAGCGTCGGCGTAGGCGGCCACGTCCTCCACGGCGGCTACGGCGTCTCCTCTCACACGCACGGCCTCGCCTCCGACTGGCTCGACTCCGCCACCTTAGTCCTCGCCAACTCTTCCGTCGTCACCTGCTCGTCCACCCAAAACCCCGATCTCTTCTGGGCCATTCGCGGGGCAGGCGGTTCCCTGGGCATCGTCACCGAGTTCCGCTTCAAGACTTTTGCCGTGCCTGAACGAGTAACTTTCTTCATCGCCCAAGCGCCGTGGAAGACGGAGCAGCAGGCTCGGGAGGGGATGGCAGCTTTTCAGGATTTGTGAACGACGGGACAAAAATGCCGAGGGAGTTGAATATGAGGTTGTTTATCACTAATCGGTTTGTCAATTTTGAGGGGTTGTTTTATGGGGATAAGAGTGGTTTGCAGGGGGTGTTGGGGCCGTTGTTGAAGGTCACGAATGCGAGTTTGGTGATGGCGCAGCAGGGGGGTTGGTTAGATCAGGTGAAGCATTTTGGGAATGGAGTTAGTTTGGATCAGGGACATCCTTATAGTATGGTAATCTCCAGTCTTTTTCTCTTCACTTTAGTACCTATCTTTCCAAGGTTTCCGCTCTCTCTTCACCTTTTCTCTTTCATCCCGTCCTCTTCCTCTTTCTCTCTTTCCATTCCAAAGTCTTCAGAACCCTAACAACTGACGACAACTAGCACGAAACCTTCTACTCCTCCTCCCTCTACACCCACCCCCTCACCCCCTCCCAACTCTCCGCCTTCACATCCTACTGGTTCACTCACGCCAAATCCAACAAGCGGGACTGGTACGTGCAAATCGACGTGCACGGCGGACCGACCTCGGCCGTCACCGTTCCCGACGTGGACTCCACCGCTTACGCCCATCGGAACTACCTGTTTATGTTCCTGTTCTACGACCGTGTGGATAAGGTGGTGTATCCGGCTGAAGGCTTTGCGGCGATTCAGAACTTTGTGGGCAATGTCACGGATAAGATTCCGGTGGAGGAGTGGGGGATGTATGTCAATTATCCGGATCCGCAGATGGAGAGGGAGGCGGCGCAGAGGAATTATTGGGGGAAGCACTTGGAGAGGTTGAGGATTGTTAAGGGGGCGGTAGATCCGGGGATTTGTTTAGTTATCCGCAGGGGGTTGTGCCGGCTGTATAGAGGTAAGTGATGGGGAGGGTGTGGATGGTGATGTGGACATGTGGTGGGCGAGCTGGAGTCAAGTGATCAGAACATTTGTGGCCATATTTGTTTCCATGTCGAGAAGACATGGAGTGTTGTTATTGCGTGGCTCCCTACGGACTTGCTGGTGAAGTGTACAGACATAACGCTTCCCTCTAACGTCCCCGCCCCTGCCCAAAGATCCAATTCGTGGCACTCCCGAAACAGTGCAACCCGGTGTTTCAATTGCCTTGTCAATCAGATCTTCGTCTACAGTCAAGACACTGGCTACTATGGAGGGAATCGAGATTGCGGTTCGAATCGGTGATAAATTGTCTGTTTCCTTTGACTAAACTCACGCCTCCTTGATATCCTTGGACTGAGTCAACACCTCCTTGCAGTGCTCCAGCACCTCGACCGAGTGCTCCTTCACCTCCCTCACGTCCACCTCGATCTCCCCCTCTGCAGTCAGATCCAGTTTCTCGACTTGCTCCACCATCGCCTCTGAAGAGAGAACGATCGTCTTGCAGTTTGAATCGGTGGCAAATTGGCCCGGCCCGTGGAGCGCGCACCGGTGACGCTAGGAGTGATTCAGCGATTAGTCAAGAGTTTACCGACAATGGCGCCGGCGGTGAAGAGCTGGAGAACGCTCGCCTTCTTGGTCTGTGACTCGCCAAAGAGATCCTTCTTCAAGTGCGAGTAGGTCGGGAAGTAAATTGCCGAGAACGGAACGTCGCGGAGCAAGCAAGCAGAGGCGCCCTTGTACAGGCCGACCAGGCCCAAGTTACGGACGGCTTTTAGGATAGTTGAAAGGCCGGGGCTGAAATGCAATTCCAGCTCGAACACCGTTTCCCATAGCGACACATGGCAGAGCGCTTGGGAGCGCCCTCGACACTCTTAGCAACTTCACCCTGGACCTGCAATCTGATCTTGACGATTTCCAGGGGGTTAGGGCGAGCATAAACCGGAAATACAGAAACCTAAAGACCTATTACACAAGCAACCATTAGCAATACTCAACAGCAAGAGCAGCGCACACAAAGAGAAACCAAGGATGACTTACAACTTGTGCTTCGAGGTCTCCATAATGATGCGCTCGAAGTCCTCGGGCTCGATGAAGCCGTCGCCATCCTTGTCAAGCGACCATGGTGAGCTTTTCAAGATGGGTTGGAACCAGCCTTTTGTCACAGACTCACAAGCTGCGAACGGTCTGGCACAGCTGGAAGGCCTGGCGAATGCGCTCGCCCTGGAGGCCACGGAGCATTTGCGAGAATTGTTGGTAGTCGAGGACAATTTCCAGGGGGTTTGTAAACACCTATTGCACAAGCAAACAATTAGCATTCTCAACAGCAAGAGCAACGCACACAAAGAGAATTCGAAGATGACTTACAACTTGGTAACCCGCCAGGTTGCCCGGCGGGTTGCCATTACAGGAATGTTGCAATATGATACAAACGACGCGACAAGAGAGGGAATGAGTTGAGGAAAGCAACAGCGCGGCAATAGGTAGTAATCTCTACCACCGTCCTTTCTGATGGCGCATCGTAGTTCGTATCCCTTGGGTTGGACGGCTACCCACCCCTCTTGCCTCCTCTGCTGCTTCCTTGTGTTACGTCTGGGCTGAGCTTTTACTGAAGAGCGGAAGCCATGTCTCTCACCTCGTGCTCAGTCTGGGAGCACAGGAGCATTACCGCCGGCGACGGGGACAGCAAATAGGATGCCCTTACGGTTGCGAGCGGGACCAGAGCCAGCTGATGGGGCAGGGGGAGCCGAAGCAGCCGATGGGGCTGCTGGTGCTGAGGAGGCCCCTTGGGCAGTTGCCGCTGAGGCTGTTGCTGCTGAGGGAGGAGAGGCCGCAGCTGCTGCTGAGGCAGCCTCAGCTGACGTTTGATTCATGGTGGTGAAGTTGGTGAGGGGCTGAAGTGGAAGGAGACGTCAATAATATTCTGATGAACGCCACAGAGGTAGACAGGGGAGCTTACCAAGAGAAAGTGCCAGCGACGAGCGAACCGAGGAGAGCGCCAGCGGGGAGCAGGGCGACGATGGCGCCCTGGCGGTACGCCGAGTAACTGGAGGTTGAGGAAGGTGGTGGTTGCTGATGGTTGTTGGTGGTGCTGTTGACGTTCTTGAACGCACGGCAAGCAGCGATGAAGAATGGTGAGGAAGTGGTGATGATGAATGATGGTTGTGTTTGATGGTGAGGGAAAGGGAAGAGGAGGAGAAGAGAAGAGAAGGGAAGAGGGAAGAGAGTGGAGGGGAAGGGAGGGGAAGAGAGAGAACGAGGGGAGTGGCTGCCTGGAAGGCGCGTGGGAGAAAAAAAACTGTGGGAGTCAAATTTTGGTTGCTGGATAGAGCTACGCGTTCCTTCCATTTCTCTTTCTACGAGGGGGTCAGGCAATTTGCTCGTGTCACGCTCTACCGTACCTGGCAGGAGCCCGGCGGTCACGAGTGTACCGACTGGACTGACGAGAAGGGAAACAGCACTTGGACAGGTGATCCCATGTGCTGTGACAAGACTGACTCCACGATGAATGTCTCTTGTCTGGCACCTGCCACCTCTGGTCAACTTGTCTAGGCATTCTCACCTCTTGATCGTGCTTTTTCTTCGATGAGGAAGGCATAATCCTACAGTGATTACGGTGATTCGGGTCAGGAGTACATGTTTTCGGTTGGTACGGGAGAATTTCAAGATGTACGATCCCCGTTTGGGACAGATGGAATACATGTATGGCTCATTTGAAGTACGAAGCTGGTCATAGAACAAGAATTACACTGGAAAAATGGTAATTACACGATATAGTCTGTATCCTCTTGCCCCTTCGAAACACTCTCCTTCCACCTCCCGGAACCAGTCAATTTCGGACCTGCTCCTCTGTCCATGCTCTGCTCTGAGTGAAGCACGCTTTCCTTTGGTAAGCTTCGGGTGACGGCCAAACACCAATAATCCGCTCCTTCCTTCCAAAGTTTTTACGATCCCATGCACCCGGCCCTTGAGCCTGCCCTCAATATCCAATTCCATCAGCACCACTCTTTCGCTGTTACTTTGCTGCCACCAGAGCCGTCAGGACTGCCGCCAGAATCAGAACTGCCTTTCTTGCGCACCTCAAGACAATGAATTGGAAGCAAAAGGAGATGTCCTACTGTTGAATGTGTTTGTTGGCACTTGGCAACAACCAGTTGTTTTGACTTTTTTGCAGGTTGAGAGTTCGTTGATCTTCGGATGAGAGTGAGAGGGTGTTGAGGCGAAACTGGTTAAAAGATGACTTCCACCAAGGGCTCAAGAAGTATGCCGAGACTGTTCCTTCAGGTAATTCGCCGCTAGCAGTGAAGCCTCGGTATCTGAGCTCGCTTGTGTCAGCCGAGGGTTGCGCTGGTGAGCCGTCCATAGAGGTAGTCTTTGAGGAGTGCGAGTCCGTTGCGTGGTAAATACGGGGATGAAGTTCATGTATCGATGAAAAGGAGAGGGAAGCCAGCAGCAGAGGCAGAGGCCGCTGACGAGACATCAGAGCCCGACGAGGTATTGGAAGCGCACGAGCCATCAGGTTGACAGGCTCAGACGAGCGATCGGTTGCAGTGGATCACGCATGCGGGAGTACAATACGCGACGTATTTGAGGCAAGAGCAACGGTGACAATCACCGGTAAACCCTTGATGCATACAAGACTGATCCACGTACTCATCGATCCAAAAAGGTAAGACAGCCATCTTGCTCAACAGTGCTCCAATATCCCAAGCTGAGGCTGGGGGCGAGGCCGATGTCATTGCCGATTGACGGCTTTGTCGGCCGCTCAAAGCCGCCGTGGGAGGAAGGGAAAGAGCGAGGATGCAATGAGGTCGTAAATCAAGATGAGTAGTATGATGTACAAGGCGAAAGGAAAAGGACGGATATCATGGCGGCCGATTCTGCTGCTGACGGGGCTTCGGCAGCGTCATAACTTGGTTGATAGTTCTGAATGGCACGAATCTCCTTTTTGAACTTCTCCATGAGAGGTGCCTTTTTCGGGACAGTTGCCTTTGGCACGACAGGTACCTTTTCCATGAAAGGTACCTTACCCACGATAGGTGTTTCCTTCATGACAGATGCCTTTTCCACAAGAGGTGCCTTTCCCACGACAGGTGCATTTTCTACGACAGGTGCCTTTGGCGCGACCGGTGTCTCTGTTCCCATGACTGGTGCTTTGTCCATGACAGGAGGTGCCTTTTCTGTAACATGTACCTCTTCCACGACAGGTGCGTCCTCCACGACAGATGTCTTTTCCATAAAAACATCGTCCTGCGGCGGGAACGGCTCCTTTTGGGAATCGCTGTCTTTGCTGGATTCCATGGCAGGTGCCTCTTCCATGGCAATTTCCTCTTTTGGCGCCGGCGGGAATAGCTCCTTTTCAGAATCGCTGTCTTCGCTGGATTCTATAGCAAGCGCCTCTTCTATAGCAATTTCCTCTTTTGGCGCCGGCAGGAATGGCTCCTTTTGAGAATCGCTGTCTTCGCTGGATTCCATGGCAGGCGCCTCTTCCATGGCAATTTCCCCTTTTGGCGCCGGCGGGAATGGCTCCTCTTGAGCATCGCTGTCTTTGCTGAATTCCATCGCAGGTTCCCTTTCTATGGCAATTTCATCTTTTGGTTGGAATGGCTCCTTTTGAGTGGAAGTGCTGTCTTTGCTGGATTCCATGGTAGCAAAGGAGAGTGGATGTGTGAGTGTGGCAGTGTGTGGAGATAGGGTTGGCGAGGAAGGTTGGGATCAAGCTGCACGCACGAGACGAAGGACAGAGGTGCAAATGGGGAAGAAAAATGGACACAATAGTATGAATGAAGGGTATGATATGGATACAGAGAAAAGATAAAGTGTAGACAAAAAAAGGCGGATGGGTAGAGCTTTAAGTTATGCTGGCTCGTGGGCAGACCGTGGACAAAGCTCTTTTCTAGGTAGTTTGTTCCCATGCTTTGTGGCCGGCCGCTGATGAGGCGGCCGAAGAATGAGGGGGCAGGCTTTGTCCGACGGTGGTCGCCCCGGCCGAACGGTTTCCCTGTCGAGAACGGGTAAAGGGCCGCATGTCTTTTGGGCGCTGCATCCGGAATATCACTCATTGATCATTATCCTCGTCCTTTCTTTGTCACTTGTTACCTGTAATCATCACTCGGGAAGATCCGACAACGCCACATCCCGGTTTCATGTTAGGAACTCGGCAATCACGCGTGGCTTAGGGAAACAAGAACCTTATTGAATTGAGGTTTTTAAACACCAAGATAGTGCCGGAATTTTCCAGTCACCAAATTTGCGGTCCTCAGATTTGTGATGGATTGGGCGAGGTAGGGAACTTTATGTGCCGAAAATATAACTCTGATAATGAATCCTCTTCTTTGCGTTGTGTGTTATAAAAGATACCTGTAAGATACGCCGTAACAACTGACTCCCGACTAAAGCTATCTTCTTGCCAAACCCATGATATTCTTCCATGCCGCAGATTCCGTCATTCTTCGTGTTCATCTATTCATCCTTCGTAGGTATCCATCTATTCATCAAGTGTAGTACCAACAGTAGAAGGTCAACATGAGAGACCCATATGTCCACCGCTTTACCTATCCACAACAACGGTTAGTAAAGCTCATGCCTAAAAACGATCAAGGTGAAGACGACGACCAAAAAGACTCTTACCGTTTCGCTTGTTGCCCCGGAGTCACCATTCTCCCCATTCTCATCACCATTCTCGCCGTTCTCGCCAAGAGGAATCAACCAAAGTCCACATCGCTTATAGCCAGAGGGCGGGGGCAGCAGCTGCCGGTACACGATCTCAAAATCTGCAAAGACGCCGATAAAACAAGACAAGGCCATGAAGCAGGCTAGGATAAGGGCCGGGATAGACATGGAGCTTGAGGTCACTGTGGATATGAGTGTAGACAGCAGGGCCCAGGCACAGAACAGACCCACGATGTTAATAATGGTTGTGCCGATGAGGCACAAAAGGAGCTTTATGTCGAAGCGTCGTTGGACCATCTTGATGAATGTGGCGATACGGTGCAATTACGGTGATTGCTTGTTTGTTTCTGTTGGTGGTTGTCGATAACCTTTATAGTAGTGTTGATAGTTGGGACGTAAGAAGCTGATGATGGAAGCGAGTGAATGCTGGAGATGGTGCTGATTGTTATAGACTGAGAAAAAGCAGAAAAAGACAGAATTTATACCTTATGCTTGTTGAGGTGGCCTCCGGCTGTACCGTAGAAATTCGGGAAATCCGGACATGAGGGCCCCCAGTAATTCCCTTCTTGCGCGCAGATATGCCAGTGATTTAACGTGCAGCCCAGTGCATACATGGTGCCATACAGAATCGCCTTGTTTGTGAAAAGGTCCAAAAGATTGCCCATCACTGTAACTTGCATGCGTTCAAATGCACAGAATCGGACATGACCCATAGGTACAGGACTGCTGGCATAGCGGCGTCCAAGAAGGGAATTTGTGGAGGGACTACGTGTCCGGATTTCCCGAATTTCTACGGTAGAGATACCTTTACTTCATGCTCCTTCTTTCTTCCAACTGCTTTGCTTCGTTCATACCACTTTCTAGCATCAAGAAAAGACCTGCAGTTATAAACTCATTATCCGGAATAAGACTCATTGATTATTATCGCCGTCCTTTCTTTGTGGCCAGTTGATCCTCATTCGGGATGATCCGTCAACGCCACGTTCTGGTTGGAAACTCAGCAGCCACGAATACATATAAATTAACGAAAAAAGGGCCTTCTTCGATTGCAGTTTCTGAACGACAAGCCCCGATAATACTTTCAAATCTCAAAAGTTGTAGTCCTCCGAATTGTCATACAGTGGGCAAGGTATGGAACTCCACACGTGCATGTGCCGAAAACATGACTCTGATAATGTCTTGAACTGTCACGATAGTAGGGACAAGAAGGCGAGAGAGAAGTTGTTGTATTCAGAAGGAAGACAAGGCTACGAACGAGGGCGGGGAAAAGCTACCTGTATGCTTTTTCCTTTGGATATTGGCAGAACTTGAAAGGACCGACCGGGAGGCGAGGAGTGTGGTGATGGAAAAGAAAACAGGTTTGTGGGAGAAGAGAGACAGAGTCTGTTTTTTTACCCTTTCATGACCGGTCTTCTGAATTGTGAACGTGGCTTTTTTTTTTTGTTCTGCATATCCGTTGATCAGAAAAGCATAAGGAGCATTATGTCCGACAACTTCTTTTGACGCACCTCGACCTGTGACTGCATGATGCATGTGTCTCCATAAGCTCGATGGCCATGATGCGCGGGCAGTTGTTCAATGGTTTCCGGAGCCTCCTGGCCATAGAATACCTACCTACATGATATTCAACATCCCACCTGGACCTGAACTTTAGGATGCAACATCCGTTTGATGAAAACGCATGCAGAATTGCTTAATGACCTTCTCATCCAATCCTAGAGGTAATTACAACTGTCATCCGCAGAACAGGTTCGGCCCTGAAACTTACAATCCATAATGAACAACGATCGTGAGAGCTCTAGCAACGTAACACATGTTGTGTGGCAAGTCTTCCCAATCGTCCTTGTGCTGGAAGCAGCGGGAAAATGTCATGGTTGTCATCATCATCGGCCACGTCTGCTCCATGTTATCGGCCTTGATAGTCCTCACTACCTTACCCACACAGTTAGTCGGAGCCGATGAGGATGACAATACCTAACAGATCCCGAAGGGGACTTTCTCGAGATTTGTGTGCTGCATAATGCATGATTGCCCGGCCCTGCACCGGACTCCGGGCACCCTTCTCGCATGCAGCTCTGCACAAGTATGCCCTGCAGCATCTGGAAGTATCCACTGCCACATGAAAGAACCGAAGGACCCGAAGTTTGACCGAAACCATGGTGTCCAGGTCGCCACTGGAAGTACGAGCATCCATCTGCCACCGGGCTGTTGGGCCGAGAGTGCCTTGGACATGGAATAGTCCATCGACCATCGTGCCTTCCCAACTATCCGCTGGTAGCCGGGGAGGCTTGTGACAACCAGCCGACAACTGCCGCTGGATTGCTGGAACACACAACCTGAAGGCAAGCTCGGGGGAGAGATACTCCTTCCACTTCTGTGTGCGCAGACTAGCAAGATGCAAAAGCCCGGCGTTTCGAACTTCCTCTTTCCTTTCCATCAAAAGGCTGTCGATGCCCCGCCCTTTGGACCATTGAATGCATCTTACTGACGATTGGCAGGTACCATACCCTCTACATTCCGCTTCTTCCCTCATCCTCTCTCGATATCACTATGTGGGATATGAGATAGATTTCCAAGGTTATATTATATGGCTGCCCGGTTTCTAGTCTAGCTAGTGATTGGAGCGCAATATTAAGATCCGGCAAAATGCTTAGGATCGATAAGGTCGATACGGATAATCGCCTCCGATAGGTATGCATAAATGCTTCGCAATATTAATGCCCTCCATTACGGAATTGGTCACGATCCGGCACTTGTGAACAGTTCGGAATCGAGTTTCTTGCCTGGTAGTGAAGCAGAATGGACAATGACGCCAGGCTGCTCATTGCTTGATGGACCTGTTTAAAAGCCAAGGTTCCCTTGTGCTCTCTGTCAATCCAGTTTGTCGTGTCCTAAAGTTCTCTGAGTCAAATATTGCTTTCCATCACTTACTCTACCTATCGCTCCTCTGAGGCATTGTTATCATCGTGAACATGTACTGGCTTGGGGCCCTCTCCTTCGCGGCCGCCGTTCAGGCACAAGGTGGTGGATTTTCGACCAACATGCTGCGGTTCGGCTGCTCGCAAGCAGTCATTGACCGTATTGATCCGTGAGTTCTACCTCCAGACTTATCGCAGGAAATGGCACTAACACTCCCGCAGACTTGTCGAACCGGGCATGCTCCCTTCTTCACACGTCCATCAAGTCGTTGGCGGCGTACGTCCATTCCCTGTTTCTCCCTACAATGCCCACACTAACAACTACCAGAACGCCTTCAACGCAACCATGCCCTCCGGCCCCAACGCCGACATCTCCAAACTCGCCACCTGCACCTCCTGCACCTTTTCCGAGGACTTCTCCAACTACTGGACCGCCAACGTCTACTTCCGCGCACGCAACGGCACCTACAAGCGCGTGCCACAAATGGTCAACACCCAAATCGGCGCCGCCAACGCCGGCATAACCGTCTACTATACTGCTCCCGGCCCCAAGACCGTGACAGCATTCAAGCCCGGCTTCCGCATGTTCTCCGGCGATGCCAACCGCCGCACCTCACCGGGTTTTGGCAAGAACATGCAATCCTGCTTCAGGTGCTACACGGGCGCCAACTTTGGCGGCAACACTTACGCCCCTTGCCAGGACCCGCAGCGCGACACCGAGACGTTCCCCAAGCAGCCCTGCCCGGGCGGGATCCGGTCGAGCGTCATCTTTCCCATCTGCTGGGACTGCAAGAACCTGGATTCTCCTTCGCACACGGAGCATATCGCCCACCCCGCCTTGGGCCCTGCGCCGTTCGCCGTCGTGGACGCCAAGTGCCCTTCCAGCCACCCGGTCAAGATCCCGCAGGTGCACTACGAGGTCGTATGGGACACTCGCCAGTTCAACAACAAGGCGGACTGGCCTACGGACAGCAGCCAGCCGTTTGTGTTGAGCAATGGAGACACGACGGGGTACGGACAGCATGGCGATTACGTGTTTGGATGGCAGGGAGACAGGCTGCAGCATGCGATGGATAATGGGTGCTTTGGGCCGACGTGCAACGGATTGAAGATGCAGGCGTTTGACAAGGCGAATCAGTGCACGGTGAAGAGCGTGGTGAATGAGAATACGGATGGGTGGTTGAAGGTGCTGCCGGGGATGGCGGGGCATCCGATGAAGAAGTGATGGATGGGTGGCAGAGGAAGGAAGACACTCGTCTTTCTACCTAGGTAGGAGACCCTCGTTTGTGTGGAATACCCCTTGCCCGCCTTTCCAACAAGTCATCCTTTTGTAGCAACATGATTATCAACATTGAAACCATTGATCTAAGCGTTCTTGTGGATCGTGAATGCTCAAGGCGGTCGTGGTGGCCGAGTGTCTGACCTCCTTTCTCCGGCTGTGCAGATGTGGACCCCGAACATAAGAGGCAAAGAGCACTGCCGGCTAAAGACCCCCTTCACCTCTCAAAAAGCAAGGACCAGCAAGTTAGCCACCGGGAAGCTGTGAACGGCATGCAACTCAGCAGCCTGGAAGTGAATATGAGGGCAAAGGGCAAGGATGGGTCCAAGGAGAAGCCAAGAACGGCGGCACTCGTTCGGTCCACAAAAGACCACATAAGAGATAGTAACACCTGATTGGGACGCATGAGAAGAGGGAGCTGGGAGAAAACGTGGAAAGACAGGCGCATGAGGTATGGGGGGTAGACAGCATGAGTTGCATCCCCAGATATTACCCGGCACGTATAAATAAATGACTGCCGTCCTGTCCGCCTATCGTCGCCAATCGCCCGGCACAAGTTACAGAATCCGGGGTGCATCTGACCAACGTTCAATCTCCGCCTAAACTCGTTTGTGATTTAGATTTTAGAGTGCTTGCATGGATGACACTGGGTGAGACCCAACTGTCCAGTCCGTTGTTGGCCCATGTTGTGTGCGCATCAGAAGACCTTTTCTCGTAATCCGCCAAGCTGGGATATCCGCATCCTTGAACAGACCTCACTAATAGTAGAGAACTGTCATGAGAGGGAAAGGAAGGCTGAGCAGCCTTGGCTGTCTTGGACTGGCCACTGGCCATCGGCAGTTTAAGAGGTGATACTTCTCCGAACGGTCTCATATCACAGGCCGGATGGATACAGAAGCTGAGTCCATGTCGGGAAGGTGTAGACGGGCGGTATAAAGACAACAGAACCCCTTTCCATAGTAGCCAGCCCACTTGGTTATCCCGGAATCCGGGATCGTAGCACCTCCTCCTCATCGAAAAACTGTGAACATTCAGTAGGTCTGCCAAAGTCAACATGTTCTTCCTCACCTCCCTCCTCACCGGCCTCCTAACCATCTCCCTCACCATCATCGGAGTAGCCTCCGCTCCAGCAGCCAACTACTTCTGGTCCAGCTGGTCCGATGGCAAGCCCAAGCTGACCGTCAAGAACGGAGCCGAGGGCAGATTCGACGTGACCTGGTCCGGCGACAAAGGGAACTTTGTCATTGGCAAGGGTTGGAACCCTGGTAGTAGCAAGTTAGTCTTTTTCGCTCCTCTCCCATATCCCTCCCCCCTACCCCCACTTCCCTCTTACCTATCCATCTCCCTCCTTCGAGCAGGCCGCTCCTCCGCCAATCTTGCTGACATCCATCGCACCCTGGCCAGAAACGTCACCTACACCTCAACCTTCTCCCCCACCGCCGGCGGAAACGCCTACCTCGCCATCTACGGCTGGACCACCTCCCCGCTCGTAGAATACTACATCATCGAAGCCCACGGCGACCACCATCCCTCTGACAACCCTGAGGCCAAGGTTCTCGGGAACGTCACATCGGACGGCGGGACGTACCAGATCATGACCAAGAAGCGGGTAAATAAACCCAGTATCATTGGCACCGCGACTTTTGCCCAGTATTGGAGTATTAGGTATGAGCAGAGACCGGGGGGAGGGACGGTTAATACGGGAACGCATTTTAAGGCGTGGGAAGGTGCGGGACTGAAGATGGGGAGGCATAATTATATGATTGTGGCGGTTGAGGGGCAGGATAGTTCGGGGAGTGCTAGTGTTACGGTGGGGGTTGCGTCGCCGGAGCCGGTACCCACAACGGTGGGTGGGGGGAGTTCGTGAGAGGGATAGGAGGTGGTGGGTGGTTTGGAGGCGTGGTTATTGCTGCTTTGGGAGCGGCGGTTTTATCACACCTCGAAGACGGTCAGTAGGTAGTCTAGGCTGTCATATAGGCTGAGGGGTATGTAGTGGTTGTTTTATCAAGGTTGTGGATGATCAGATGTTGAAATAAGTTTGGGATGGTAAGGAAAGGCTTGGGATAACTGAGCAGGTCGAAGGTGACATCATTGAAGGCTTTCGCGATGATCGACCCAGTGCTCGCGTGACCTCCGTTTGGGCGCTGTGCTTCCGTTCCTCAGCCCTTGGAGACTACTTACAGAATCGTATTCATTAAACTCCTCACACCAGAGATTTAATGAATCATTCGTGTGAAGCTGAAATTCAACGTTGTTCCTGCCGAGAATGCTGGGCGAGCTTGTTCGATGTTTGTTCGATGTTGGCGTTGTTAGGGGGCCCCGCCTAGCGTGGTTAGCGCACAGACGGTACCTGTGGATCAGCTGCCGGTCGCTGCCGGAAAATCCGGGGAAGCACATCGGATCGACGATTTTGACAAGAACATCAGCATCAGCACATGTCGGTTCTTTCTCGATATTGAAGTCGTGATCGACCAATGATTTCTCCCAACTCTCACGATATCGTTGTACTGAAGCCGAGGTTTGAAGATGGAAGTTGATGAATGCCCAGAAACGCCCAGAAACGCCAACCTCTCGGCTTTTAGGGCTTGGGCGCGCCATGGCACATTAATCTCCGACGCTGTTGGTTCTTTGAGCCGTGTTATCCGTACTTGGTAAAGTACGCGCGTTATCGGGCAATCAGTCGCGATTTCGTCCCTTCTCCTCATTTTCTCGGCGCGTGAGGTACAGTGCGACCCTCTCGCAGCCAAGAGGGCACCTTGACGTCCACCCTGCCGCGAGCCTGCATCCACCGTGACCGCCGCCTGCCGGTCCCGTCTCCTCCTGATTTCACCTTGTCCCTCTCTCTTCCTTCGCTTCCCATCACAAACCGTTGAAAATGGCCGGCTAGCTACCGCCTTCCGTTGTCGCGACCAAACATTTGGTCCAATGGATTATCCCTACCTTTGCTGACGGAAGCTGTGCTCTGCTGCGAAACACGGCGACAAACGATGCGACCTTGGGCATATTATTTCATGTCCCACCATGCCGCACCCATCACAACACCCCGTCGTCATCGGCGACCCGGATCTAAAAGTCAAGATCATGGAGTTTGAGAACGAAGACGACTTTCTGCTCCAGCAGCGACGAAGCCCCACCCTACGACACAGAATGCGGGCGCTACTCCGTCGAATGCGATACGGTCCGTTCGGAAGACTGCGTAACATGCTGTTCTTCCTCGGGATCCTCCTCATCTTTGGCTGGATCATGCTCCCATACGACAACGTTGTCCGGCTAGGCATCCGATTCAATGTCAAGAAATTCCAACATTACCTCAACTCACACCCCGTCGAGAACTGGCTATTTGCGCCACCAGCATACCCAGTCGATCTGGGCACAGACACTGTCGTCATCGTCAAGACCGGATACGGCACGCGCATACGAGCAAACGCCTGGTTCGAAGCTCTCAGCGCCTCCAACGAGTTCCGCGACTTCCTCGTTATCGCCGACTATGCCTCCAAGCCAGGCCAAGAGGCCAATAACCACGGCACGCCTCTGCCGATACACAACGTTGTCAACCAGACCTTGAGCTCCTTGGGACCAGCCGCCAGCTTGTCGAACCCACGAGTCGCAAAATACCTTCGATTTGCCGAAGCGATAGAGAATGGGGAGGAAGAAGCAGACCAGCTCGCCAAGTCCACAGGATGGGAGATTGATGCGCTCAAGGTAGGCCTCCCCTTCCCCTCTCAAGCCATCCACCCACCCGCTAACACCCCTCCCACCAGTTCATCTCTGGCCTCGAACTCGCCTACTCCAAGTTCCCCAACAAGAAGTGGTACCTCCTCGTCGACGATGACACTTACCTCGTCCAACCATCGTTAAAACCCCTCCTTGCCCACCTCGACTCCGAGGTCCCATACTACATCGGCAACGCAGTCGGCGACTTCCGCATCCGCTTCGCCCACGGCGGCTCCGGCATCATCTTATCACAAGGCGCCATGTCCTCCCTCATTCTCGATAACCCCCACGCCGTGCGCACCGCTCACCTCGAATCCCTGTCGGAAACCTGGGGCGACCGTCTTCTAGCCAGGACGCTGATAAGAGCCGGGGTGTATCTGGACGAGGAGTACAGCCATTTGTTCAGCGGCGAACCGCCACGGTGGACCAAGATTCGCCCAGACAGGTTCTGCTGTCCTATCATCACGTTTCACGGGCTGGGACAACCAGAGAAGATGCACCGGGCTGGCGAGAGCTTCAGGAATGTGAGCAAGCCGCTACTGTGGAGCGATATTTGGGATGTGTATGGAATGTCGAGGCCTTGGAGGCAGAGTACCTTGACGAGCGATCAACTGGCGAAGCCGATAGAATATGCGAATTGGGATCATGCGGGGGGTAGTGGTGGGGAGGTGGCGGTGGTCGAGGGGGTTGAGAAGGCGGGAGAGTGTGGGAAGAAGTGCTATGAGAGGGGGAGCGAGTGCATGGCTTGGACGTGGGAGGAGGAGACGAGGAGGTGTCATTTGAGTCCGTGGATGATAGTAGGAGAAAAGGTGGAGGGGAAGGTGAGCGGACCGAATGGGAAGCTGGCCAGGGAGTTGGAGATGGGTTGTTTGAAGTATTAGGAGACCGGACTCTCTGTTGTATGAACAAACGTGTTACGGTTTAATGGGATGGAATATCATTACCATCATCACAACGGCAACCTCATACAAAGATACCCTTGGGCTAATTTTTCGAGAGTGGGGACGGAGAGCCGCTCAAACAACTCGGGGACTATCATTATCACCGGGATTTGGTGCTGAGCGAAGACATGAGCGCAAGGCCAAGCGCAAGTGGAATGTTTAGGACCTGCATCTCTATCTCTACAGTACAATGCTGGTTTGTTTGTTAGCTCGAGACCTCTGGTCAACTTGTCCAGGCGTTTCAACAACAAGTTGATGTGTTTTCTTCGATAATGGGGGCTTAAAATTTACATAAATATGTCAAATCAGCTGCTGATAATCTGTTTTTGACTATGCTTTATACATTTTAAAGTACCATTGCAGCGTTCAGGATGGGTTGGCATGTGTCTTACTCGGGGTACAGAGTTAACAAATAAACTAGTATTGGACTGTATTAATAGCAGAACAGCCGTTAAAAAGTCCGGTTAGGGTGTTAGTGAATTTCGCGGACGGTCCCCATATGAAACTCCGCACGCACTACCTGAATCATAACGCACGGCCCAAAAGTGTACTTTTCGTCCGCAAAAGAATTGTTAGGCCTAACAAATTTCGCGCTTTTTCTGTTAGTGCACTCTCGGTCCAAGAATTGCGCGTTCCCCGAACACTAGTTAATGTTTATTCATGACTTATACGTATCGAGACATCAATAACAGTTGTCACCAACCGCACGACATAATCATCATGCCTGATGGTGCTTTACTTGGTGCACTCGGTCGAAATCCTTGCGATGCAGGCAATTCCCTTTGACAAGCGAGTGTCGTACGTGAACACAAACCACTGTCGACGTCACCTCTTCCCATGACCCGACCCAAGTCTGTCCTTGCTCAAGTCAAGTTACTTCTAGCTTCTCCTACGACTAACTGTCCGCCGGAATCGATGTGTTTCAAAAGACGCAAACCCCGAGTCCACTGTGCGAATGCGGCCTGCCGTCCAAACTTCACCTTCCCACCTGCAGGGGTACCCATGTTTGCGTGGTGATACACCCAAAGGGATCACTGCCACACCGCACCTGACGAAAACAACACTGATCCCGTTCTCTACCAAACCATCGCATTCCCGTCTTGTTCCTGCGCCAACTTACGTTCTGCGCCAGTGACCACAAGATGCGGTCGATATTCATACGCTCGGGATTCCGGGTCGCCATCATCATCATTCCCATCCTCCTCGTCCTCCACTACTTCATCACCCACCTCCTCGCCTTCATCCACATCTTCTACCAACACCCGGGCATCGCCATCACCCAGCGCGAGGTCGCCAATGCCTACCTGAACGGCACCCTCCGAGAAACGCGAAAGGAGCAGATACCCAAGATCATCCACCAGATCTTCCACAACTGGAAGGATCCCGCAAACGAAACGCTACCGAGTGACTGGGAAGAACAGAGGCGGAGTTGTGTAGATAATAACCCCGATTGGGAATATCGCGTATGTCTTCTCTCCCCTTTCCCCCCTTCCCTTCCCTTCCCTTCCCTTCTCCCATAGCGCGCATGCTAACAATAGCGAAAAAAAAACACAGCTCTGGACACCCAAAACCTCCCTCCTCTTCCTCTCCACCCACTACCCGACCTTCCTCCCTTCCTACCTCTCCTACCCGCACCCCGTCCAGCGCGTCGACGCCCTCCGCTATTTCTTGCTGTACCACTACGGCGGCATCTACCTCGACCTTGACAACGGGTGTTTGCCGTCTATTATATCCCCTCCTACTACCGGCGGCGGCAACGGGTCATCATCATTGGACGCGTTGACGTACTTCCCGCTTTGGATCACGGATGGCGGGAGGGGAGCGTTGAGTAATAATATACTGGCTGCCAGACCCGGACATCCGTTTTGGGGACGGGTGGTGGCGGAGTTGGTGGAGGGGAGGGGGGCGGTGCCGGTTGGGTTGACGGAAAGGGTGGTGGGGTTTTGGAAGAGGTGGTGGTGTTTGTGGGGGTTGTTGAGGTATGTGGAGATTAGTTGGGGGGTTGGGCAGTGGTTTATTGGTGGGGTTTGGGATGAGTATCACCGGATGCTACAACTTGGGAAGGTCGTGAGCCGGGGGGAAATCTTAGAGGGGGTGGATGAAGAGGCGAGTGGGAGGTTGTATAGGCTGATGATGGATAATCGGCCGGGGATGGATGAGTGGGTGTTCTTTACGCAGGGAAGGGGAGGGACGTGGAATGGGTGGGATAATCGGTTGTTTTTGGAGATTGGTGATCATTTGTGGATGTTTGTTATGGTGCTGGGGGCGTTGGTGGGATTGTTAGGTTGGTTGGCGAGGAGGTATTGGGTCCAAAGAGGAGGGAAAGGGTACCGGAAGGTGAAGAGTGAGGATATGGAAGATAGGAGCGAGTGAGGCTTGGCAGATACCCGGGGTTTCGGTGTGTGCAAGCCTGGTGTCAGCCTTGTTGTTCCGCCTTATTAGCAGGAGAGGTGGACGACACCGTGTTTGAACGATCATTTTAGCTTTGCGGCGAAAACAGACATTGGTTATATCTGGGATTTTGGATCATGGTTTTCGTTTTCGGATAGAAATCACATAGACAGGAAGCATCTACAGGAGTCAATGAACATCGTTGTGGAAAGCCTTCGGGCTCGGCTGGTACGGACGTGAAGGGTGAAGATGCGTCCATGTGACAAACATGAGGGCGTCTCGAGATTCTTCCAGTTGAAGAACAACACAGCATCAAGATTCACAAGAAGACGCCATCGTGTGGTTCGAAAAGGGTGGATGACGTACCTCTCAATTCTGGGTAGCATCGGGCATGTATGCCCCTGGCATTGTGTCAGATGTAACGGTGCAGAATTAATTGATTGAAGAGTGTGTAACTGACTCGCCCAGAAGGTATGGGGGGTGCTGGGGTAACCCAGATATGCCTAGAAATTAGGTAATATTAGGTGGTTAGAGCGTTAACCTCTATATGGTATGGCTAAAACCGCCCTTGACTCTAATATACCCCCTTACTTACAAACCTTCTAAATAGGGTAAAAGTAAAGCTATTTACAAAATCTCTCTTCTGGTACGTTAATTTCTCTAACTAAATTGTGAATATCCTCCAAAATATTATCCGGAATCTCCTTATTTATCCTTATCTCCTTATAAATTAGTATATTCGTTATTCCTATTAATTTTTAGAATTTCTCGTAATTTAATTATCCCAAAACCTTTATTAATCCATCGGCTAGTATTTTCTTCGTTTCTAAATATTCAACTTTAATCCTTCTTTCTATAATTTCCTACCTTAATTAGTAACGATAAATATTACTATATTTTAATTTAACTATTAATTTCGCTACTTTAATAATTAATATACGGATTATTTATATATTATTGTAACCGATTATAGGTATATCCTTATTGAAGGGAATATTAATCTCTTTATATAAATATATAATGGCGATAGTTTTTTTAATAGCGTTTGAAATTAATAATAACTCTATTTCTATTATTAAGGTACATACTATTTTTTATTTAGTTGTACCCTAATAAATTAGATTATTAAAGAGTTTAATTGTAAATTTATACAAACTCTTTCAATTTAGAGAGTTGTTAGCGTACGATATATTTAAAATAATTTCGAATTTCGTTAATTTATTATAATAGAAGGAAAGATTAAAGTAGTATTAAAGGTAATATAAAACTTTATTAGCAACTTTACAATATTAAGGATTAAGATTATAATTATAGTAAATTAATTGGCTAGCGGCGAAAGTAACATTAAGCTAGGTAATTATAGCGGCGTATATTATAGAACTGATAACGACCTAGTATTTTCAGATCTTATCGAAAGAGGCTACGCTATTATAAAGTATAAGCTCTTCGTTATTTATTAGGATAAAGGCGAAAGTGTAGAAATTCTTAATTAATTTGGTAATTTCATAAATATATTCCCATTAGGATAATTAAATATAATTTACTTTTCGGTTTTAAATAATTTCGATACCTAAAAATTATTAAAGGTTATTATTACTAATAAATTTATATTTCTCCTCTAACTTCTTTGTAACCCGGGTAACTTTATTGTATTATAATTTATTAAAAGCGAAAATAACATTGTTAATATAATAGAAAATTAAAATTCTATTATATTTAAGGATATATAGGTCCTTGAATAACGGCTTGAACCCTAAGCTTTCGAAAGTCTCGTTAAATTCTTATTACTATAATAAAAGAATTTATTGGAGACTATAGAAGGCTTTAAGGATTTTAAGGATAATACTATACTTTTGATAATTAGGAAGTATATATATATAAATTTCCTTATTGAAGTAGGCGTTAACGAAGGTATGTACTGTATTGTATTAAATAAATTCGCAATCGAATTTAACGGCATAAATAATAATTAACCGAAATAAACGATTAATTAACGTAGAAGTATATATCTCCTTACTGTAATTATACTACTAGTTTCTTCTAATTACGAAGCGAGCCTTTACTTTTAATAACCAACTATACTTATTAAATTTATATATATATACCTATATATAGTCGAAGATTTAAAGACTTTTAGTACGGGGAATATTTTCGTCGATTTCAACTTATAACCTTATTTCTTTATAGTTATCGAAATACACTTTCTCTATTTACTTAAAGAAATTACTTAAATCGTAATATTTGAGATCGTAATAAATCTTGAAGGTTGGAAGGAGGTCTTAATATTTAATAGAATCCAATCTACTACCCTTAGAAATTAAATAATCAATTTCTACTTTCGTAACTATCTTACCCTACTATTGCCCAACTAATTAAATAAATTTCCTAACGTTAAACGCGGCTTCTTATAGTTCGAAGGTTGGGAAGGAAATAAGCTCTTGTAAATTTATTAAAAAGTTAGTAATAAGAGTAATTAATAGTATATTTAGCGGGGTATGGGAGTTAAATATAAAATCGATAGATATTTTATTCTAAATAATAAGTTCTATTAATTTCGAAACAGTTTCGTTATTATCTTTTTAAAATTCGTTATTGAAGAATAATAGTACGAAAGGGGTAAGACCGTTATCTTCTATATCTTAAATCGTATTAAAGGGTTCGAAATATTACGTAGATAATTCAGGAGGTTAATTAAGTCGGTTGAATAAATTAGTAATTTCGTCGTTAATTAGCCTTAATCCTTCTTTAAAATTATCAAGGTTCCTTAAATAGATTAAATCTTCGTTAAAGAGTATATTACGGGTATAAATAATGTGGTTAATTTGTAGATTCTAAATTTATGTTATGGGGCTAAGGCTCGGGCTGTAGTATTCTGGTTATCGATTAGAGCTATTATAAGGCGCCGTAGCTATGTTTATACAGCCCCTATTAAAACCTTTTATTTCCGGTAGAGCTGCTTTTAAATAGAACTTTCCTTTTTTATAGAACTTCAATTAAATTATACGATTAGTACTTATATTAACCATGCTATCCCCGTTATATTAAATTCTATTTCAATAGACCTAATAGAATAAAATAAGTAACTACTATAGTAATAGTAGTAGGGCCTACCTATTTAAATAGCTATAATTAGAATCCCCGTAGAGTTTTCCGCTGCTGTAGCCACTATAGCCGTAGAATAAGAAGAAGTTGCGAGGAGAGAAGTTATATACTTTATACAAAACAAGGAAGACTTCGTTAGGATATTATTTATTAATAATATATTCGTTTAAATAGTAAAATAATGCTTAATATATAGTTTACTATTTAAAGTTAATAGAACCCCTTTAACGTTAATATAATTACCGCGATAATTACTATTACCCCGAGCATTGTAGTCGGTGCTATATAAGAAGCCGCTCCTTATTGTAATTCTAAGCGTAAAAATATCCGTTAGCCGAAGTAGGACGGAATCCCCTTTATATTTAATTTCTATATTACCCAATTACGTTTTATATATAAAGAAGAGAGGTTGGCGGGAGTTATTATCAACAATAAATTGGGCTGGCTAATATTATTAAACGTTTTCCCGGTTAATAAAATAATTAAACTAGAAGCTTTCTAGCGCTATAGTAGTATTAACGGTATTTATAAACCCGAAGGTTTTTTTTAATTATTTTGAATTAGTTTTCAGTAATAAGAATAAGAAAAGATTAGCCCTAACCCGTTTACGTACTATATAATAGAGAGAGAATTAATTCTTATTAGATTAATTCCCTACATTCGAAGAGAATTTTATAAAAATTAGAGAGCTTATTTAGGAAGATGATTTTTAAATTAGTTTAATTAGAAATTTTTATATTTAATATTCTTTACGATTAAATGATTATAATTTATATATTTGAGATTTACGATTTCTATATCCAATAGTTAAAAGATATTATATAGAAATTTAAAATTAGTAAAGCCTTCCGTAATATCAGGGGTAATAGTAAAGGATATAGTAATTATTATTGGAGTTCCCTTTCCCGGCGCGACTTTACCCCTACCTTTAAATACCCTAAAGATATAGACGGTAATATTATAATAGGCTATATTAAGATAAAGGGTAATTTTAGGAATAAGGACGCTAAGCGTACTAAATAGGTCTTTTAGGACAAAAGAAATAAGTATTATATTTTAAATTTTTATTTCCGTTACGTAGTTAGCGGGTATATAGTCGGTAATTGTATATATAACCGGTATAACGTTCTCCTATAGGTATTAAATTTATTAAGGTTAAATTTAAAGTGGAATTTATGTTAAAAAATAATAGTAAGTATTCTTCTTTTAAAGAATTAGAAAAAGAGTAGTTCCCTTTTAAAGTCGAGTAAAGGAGTATTTTAGAATATTAAGTAAGGAAGCGGGAATTCAAAATTTCTCAGGACTTATAGAGATAAATATTATTAAAATATTTATTATTATTAATAATAAAGATTATTTCTATACCTTCGTCGATAAAAGTTATTAATATTATATTGTAATTAGTAAAAGTATTATTAAAAAGCTAAAGATTCCCGTTATATTTATATTTAAGAGATAGGTATGAGGAGTTTTAATAGAAATAGAAGGGGCGGAAATTGAAGGGATTGATTATTTTGGGTTAAATATTTATAGGTATAGATTTATGGTTTGTATTTACATAGTCCTTAAGTTAGAGTTCTTTATTATTTTGGGGAAATTATAACTAATTATTATAAAGGCTTATTTTATTCCTTATGAATATATATTTTGGTATGGAGTAGCCGGTTATTAAATCCTATACTTAGGATATTCCCCGAAAAGTCTTTCCCTTAAGGCTAAGGAATTTAGAGAAGTAGTATACTATTTAGTAATTACGTTCGTAATTATAATAAATAGGATTAGGAAGAAGAATAGTTAGTAAGTTACGGAATTAACGATATTCGTAGTGAATTTACGAAATATTAAGAAGGACTTTAAATTTAAAATTGGTATAATAGGTAAGGAGTTGTGAAAAATAATCCTTATAGAGATGTATAATTATTTATTTATTTAGAAATAAAAGGAGGTTAATAAAGTTAATTTTAATTATTTAAATATTAATTATAAGATCGAATTTAAGAAAGACGAAAACGGTAAGGAGTTGCCTCTCTTTTATAATTACTTTTATAATATATTATAAAAAGAGTTCTTAGTATTAAAGAAAACCCTTAAAGATTTTTTCGATAAGGGTTTTATCC